TAGAGAAAACCTTTAGGCCTGTTTTTACGTGCCGAAATTAGATAAAATAAATTGGCGTCATTTGCTAGCATAGCATTAGATTCAGTTGGCCGTCCTTGGTAACTTTTTCCGTGATACAAAAATCAAAATTAAAAAAAAAACACTTAAGAAAATTTTTTTGTTTTCCGTGTTTTCAATTTAAATCTTGGCTTTGATATGATGTGTAATTTTCTTCCAAAAATTGTTGTTGTAACTGTTATTTTTGTTCCGACCTTTGAAAATAGGTAGCAACTTTTCATTCGGGTGTGTTTTTGGTTTTTTTTGTTTTTGTTTTCCATACAAAATCAGCTACCACAGTTAATCATCGGATCGAGCTCATTGATATATGATACTACAGCCCTTTCAAAGTGATTCGAACGACGTAAAAGTTTTTCAAAAAAATCCCAGTATCGAAAAAACTGGTTTGAAATTCTTAATTTCGTCTAATTTCAAAGCGAGTGAGCAGCCGTTCATTAGCTTCTTGATACTTATTTTGACCTTGAAAATTTAGGCTTACTCAAGTAAAGTTAGTTTTTGGAGTTTCTAGCTTCATCTTAGGAATCAAAAATTTGAGTGAGGAGTTAATGGCTTGATCGCGCAATCAATGGTTACCATAAAGCACACATTTCATGGCGTCATCACTTATGATCATTGTAACCATAATCAAAATCCTGATGACAAAAATAATTATTAAACGAGTTACGAGCTAAAAAAGATAAATTTCACTCATTTGCATGCAAAAACTACGACATCGTCCGGACAAGATTTATCAAACGCCTTTAGGAGGTAAGGTCTGTTTTAAGCGCCTGATTTAGATAAAATAAATTGGCGTCATTTGCTAGCATACCATTAGATTCTGTTGGTCGTGCTTAGCAACTTTTTCCGTGATACAAAAATCAAAATTTAAGAAAAACACTTAACAACACTTTTTTGTTTTCTCTGTTTTCAATTTAAATCTTAACTTTCATCTGATGTGTAATTTTCTTCGAAAAAATGTCGTTGTAACTGTTATTTTTGTTCCGACCTATGAAAATGGGGAGGAACGTTTTATTCGGATGTGTTTTTTTTGTTTTGCACACAAAATCAGCTACCACAATTAATCATCGGATTGAGTTCATTGATATATGATACTACAGCCCTTTCAAAGTGATTCGAACGACGTAATATTTTTTCGAAAAAAAATTCCCAGTGTCAAAAAAACTGGTTTGAAATTCTTAACTTCGTCTAACTTCAAGCGAGTGAGCAGCCTTAAGTTAGCTAAATGATGCTTAACTTGAACCTTGAAATTTTAGTTTCACTCAAATGAAGTTAGTTTTTGGAGTTTCTAGCTTCATTTTAGGAATAAAAAAATTGTGTGAGGAGCTAATAGCTTGATCGCACAATCAATGGTTACCATAAAGCACACATTTCATGGCTTCATCACTTATGATAATTGTAACCATAATCATATTCCTGATGATAAAAATAATTAATAGACGAATTACGAGCTAAAAAAGATAAATTTCAATCAAACGCATGCAAAAACTACGACATCATCCGTACAAGATTTAGCAAACGCCTTTAGGAGGTAAGGTCTGTTTTAAGCGCCTGATTTAGATAAAAACAAATTGGCCTCACTTGCTAGCATAGCATTAGATTCAGTTGGTCCTTCTCTGTAACTTTTTCTGTGTTACAAAAATGAAAAAAAAGAACAAAAATTGAAACTTTTTTTTTGTTTTCCGTTTTTTCAACTTTAAACCATGCTTTTCATCTTAAAAATTTCCTTGCATCTCAATTTTGTATTTCCATTTTATGTTTCCATCACTCAAGCAATTTTTCTTGCACTCAACTCATTCACTCGGGCCAAGTACGTCATTTTGAACCCATTTTCAAAAAGAAACTACCAAAAATTGGTTCAACCTCTCTTCAATGAAAATTTACCCCTTGGTTGTAACAACCGAGATAAAATTCCTTCTTTTACAATTTAATATTTTGTAATGTTGTTGTAACTGTTATTTTTGTTCCGACCTTTGAAAATGGGGAGGTACATTTTTTATTCGGGTGTGTTTTATTTTTTTTTTGTTTTCCACACAAAATCAGCTACCACAATTAATCATCGAATTGAGTTCATTGATATATGATACTACAGCCCTTTCAAAGTGATTCGAACCACGTAATAATTTTTCAAAAAAAAATTCCCAGTGTCGAAAAAACTGGTTTGAAATTCTTAATTTTGTCTAATTTCAAGCGAGTGAGCAGCCTTACATTAGCTTATTGATGCTTAACGTGAACCTTGAAAATTTAGTTTTACTCAAATGAAGTTAGTTTTTGGAGTTACTAGCTTTATCTTAGTAATCAAAAATTTGAGTGACGGGCTAATAGCTTGATCGCGCAATCAATGGTTACCATAAAGCACACTTTTCATGGCGTCATCACTTATGATAATTGTAACCATAATCAAAATCCTGATGACAAAAATAATTATTAAACAAATTACGAGCTAAAAAAGATAAATTTCACTCATTTGCATGCAAAAACCCCGACTTCACCCTGATAAGATTTAGAGAAGCTTTTTAGGCCTGTTTTTACGTGCCGAAATTAGATAAATTAAATTAGCGTCATTTGCTAGCATAGCATTGGATTCAGTTGGCCGTGCTTGGTAACTTTTTCCGTGATACAAAAATCAAAATTAAAAATAAACACTTAAGAACACTTTTTTGTTTTCCGTGTTTTCAATTTAAATCTTGGCTTTCATATGATGTGTAATTTTCTTCGAAAAAATGTTGTTGTAACTGTTATTTTTGTTCCGACCTTTGAAAATAGGTAGCAACTTTTCATTCGGGTGTGTTTTAGTTTTTTTTGTTTTTGTTTTCCATACAAATTCAGCTACCACAGTTAATGATCGAATTGAGTTCATTGATATATGATACTACAGCCCTTTCAAAGTGATTCGAACGACGTAAAAATTTTTCAAAAAAAATCCCAGTTTCGAAAAAACTGGTTTGAAATTCTTAATTTCGTCTAATTTCAAGCGAGTGAGCAGCCGTACATTAGCTTATTGATGCTTATTTTGACCTTGAAAATTTAGGTTTACTCAAGTAAAGTTAGTTTTTGGAGTTTCTAGCTTTATCTTAGGAATCAAAAATTTGAGTGAGGAGCTAATAGCTTGATCGCGCAATCAATGGTTACCATAAAGCACACATTTCATGGCGTCATCACTTATGATAATTGTAACCATAATCAAAATCCTGATGACAAAAATAATTATTAAACGAATAACGAGCTAAAAAAAGATAAATTTCACTCATTTGCATGCAAAAAATCACGACATCATCCGGACAAGATTTAGCAAACGCCTTTAGGAGGTAAGGTCTGTTTTAAGCGCCTGATTTAGATAATATAAATTGGCGTCATTTGCTAGCATACCATTAGATTCTGTTGGTCGTGCTTAGCAACTTTTTCCCTGATACAAAAATCAAAATTTAAGAAAAACACTTAGCAACACTTTTTTGTTTTCTCTGTTTTCAATTTAAATCTTAACTTTCATCTGATGTGTAATTTTCTTCGTAAAAATGTTGTTGTAACTGTTATTTTTGTTCCGACCTATGAAAATGGGGAGGAACGTTTTATTCGGGTGTGTTTTAGTTTTTTTGTTCTTGTTTTCCACACAAAATCAGCTACCACAATTAATCATCGAATTGAGTTGATTGATATATGATACTACAGCCCTTTCAAAGTGATTCAAACCATGTAATAATTTTTCAAAAAAAATTCCCTGTGTAGAAAAAACTGGTTTGAAATTCTTAATTTCGTCTAATTTCAAGCGAGTGAGCAGCCTTACATTAGCTTATTGATGCTTAACGTGAACCTTGAAAATTTAGTTTTACTCAAATGAAGTTCGTTTTTGGAGTTACTAGCTTTATCTTAGGAATCAAAAACTTCAAAAATTGGGAGAAAAAATAGAAAAAAATTAGGTTTTTCTGTACTTTTGTTGTTATTTGTCTTCAAAAATTGTTTTCCAATTTGCATATTTTACAATGGCGGACAAAAATGACTAAGCTGTTATTTTTTGCTCATATTCCTTTGTCACACCACGCCGAAAAAGGACACTAACTTGATAATTTCTTTTAATTTTTCAAGACGGATCGTAACATTCTGTGCTACTTGCACAGTAACAAGCTATGCTTGCTTAATTTTTTGTGGCTGTTTAGTTGAAGTCCAGTCGTAATGGATGAACTTTTGAGTTTACAATTTTTTTTCCGAACTTGAATGTGAAGATAGTGCGGTCAAAAAGTAGAAATGCCATAAAGTAGACAATTCGTAAGCCAATCACAATCGAGATAAGAAAACAAGCATTACGAGGCCAAACTGTGCATTTTGTGAACTCTATGCGGATTCAGCATCTAGGATGCTCCCGTTGTTTTTCTTTTGTTCTTTCTTTTCCTTTGATCGTTCCGAAAAAATTTTAACATGTTTAAAGACTTGTTTCTGGAATCCTGGAACATAAAGACACAAAATTGTGCGCCTATCCACTGCACAGTTTGGCCTCGTAATGAACAACGAAGTATTTACTTTTTTCTATTCTGATTGGCTAACGACGTGTCTAATTTATGGTAGGTCTACTTTTTGTTACTTTTGTGATGCTGGTTTTTGTTCAGTTATCGTCTTTGCCACGCTGCGTTTTTTTCTGTAAATTGAGTAAATAAGTATCGGGTAAAATTGATTGCGAATTCTTCACTTCACGTTTGATACCAATGATTTTTGTCAATAATCTAAATATTTTAAATGCTAACCACTCAGGTTGCCTGTGTTTTGAGCTAGTTTTAAAAACCAGAGCATCAGACATTTCCAGGCTCTAAATGTACCATTTTGGAAAAATCTCTTTTTAGAACTTTTATAACAATTTTTCAAAAAGTGACTATAAATTCAACGATTTCAGTGTCCCTTTAACACATCAACTGAATTTATTTATGACTTAATGAGTTTATGTCGATTTTTTTCAGGACAATTGGGAATTGTAACACACGTGGAGGGTAAACAGTTCTACAAGTTAAATGCGACTGGACTGCGGTCACATACCAACTATACGTTCTACCTGCAGACAATTCGGGAGGGCAGGGAAGGCACGGGACAGCCGGGAAATCGACTCCGAGTTGAGACCAAATGTGACGGTGAGCAAAGCAATTGAATTCATCCAACAGCCCTAAATATTGAAGTTCAAATCGCACAAGTTCGATAAGTTCATATGATACAAAAAGAAAAACAAAGAAAACAGCTCCGTTAAGGGAACTTGAACTAAAAGAGTACTTGCAAATACGTACAAAAAAACAATCAAGTGTTCTCAAATTCCAGAAACTCGGTGAGGCTTGTTTTTATTGTTTTGAATGATTGGGTTCAAGAGTTTTTTTTTCAAACATAAATATTTGATGGTTGATTCCTGTAACAGAAAAATGTCGAAAGTTCGGATGACTTTTAGGCCGACTTCATGAGAGGTTTTTCCTAAAACTTTAGTTTTTGGCGCGCGTTTCCCTTCAAAGTTAAGTTAAATTGGCCTTTTGGGCGGTGAGGGGGTTGACAATGTAAAAATATACTATTAGTTAACCATAATATCAACGTACTTTGAACGATTAATTTGATGACGACTACTAATTGTATCAAAAATTTGGCATTAACTTTTTCAGTTTTATTGAGACAAAAAGATGTTAGCCTTTAGGGCTAAATTGAGGTTCAATTTTTATAGCTAATGCCAAGTCGTTGCCTATCAAAGAATCTGAACGAGGTCAGCTAACCTAAACAGCTCATTTTGCGACCTCGAAACCCAAGTTTTGAATAAACTGAACAAGTAAAAACAGTGTCAAAGAACTAATTAACCTAAAACCTAATAATTTTTGATCAAAGAGGATGTTGAAGGTCACCAACCGATATTGCCAGTTACAAATTGCATTTATTTATATTTTTACATTGAGTAGTTTCATTGTCATTTGTTTGATAAGATTAACGCATCCTCCCCCCAAATAGCTTGAGGGGAGATTATGTTAACCTGGTCCTTTTTTTAAATAAAAAGATGATTTTCTGTAGCCGCGAAGTTGTCGTCTGAACGGGTGGAGGTTGTGGCCACTCAATCCAACCGGATTGTGTTGCGGTGGAAAAGTACGCCTTGTGGGGACCCGGAGAGCACTCTGGCCAAGTACCAGTACGAGTTCGCATCCTCGCCCGACTTCAAACACGAACTCAGACGGGGTGAGTTTAAAAACGAGCTCTTTCCTTTTATTATGATTTCCTTATTACAATACATTGATTCAATTGCTGAATTGTAGACGTAATCAATTTCAGTTTCAGGCTCTTATACTGTTGTCTCATCACATGCCATTTTCTGTTTTTCTAACTTTTGCCCACGCATTCCAATTGAAACATCTAGAAAAACTTAATCTAGACTAACTCTAATCTAGGCAAAACTAGGGTCTTTTGGCACCGGCGGCACTTTTAAAAGAGATTTAATTTAGTGGCGGTTGGTCAAAACGGCTACCGTAAAACCTCCTTGAAACGGTACTGGCTCTTTTTCCTTCCCCCACCTGCGAGTTTTCACAAGTAACTTCTCTGTTCTGATTGTCCGATTGTTACAAAATTTGGCATGCGGACTAATAAGGCTATGACAAACATATTTGATCTTTACATTAACCTTGTAAAAATCCCTCTTTAAGCCAGCAAATTGATGCTTATGTGAGGTGGGGGGAAAGGAAAAAGAGCCACGTCCTAGTGAAGCCTCCTGTTTATAAAACTCAAAATTTACGGTGTAAAAAAATTCATTTTGTCTTGTAATCAATTTCTCAGGACCAAATTGATCAAATCAAGAGAGATTATCAAACAAAATATTACCGGTATGGGAAACGAAAACAAGAGAAATCATTTTTTTTGGCAAGCAGGTTTTGAGGACGGTGAGACGCACGTTGAAGACCAGTTGGATGCCTACACACAGTACTACTTCCGGGTCAGACCCATCCTGTTGAGTGGGGTCAAGGGTCAGTGGAGTCAAGTGGTCAACACCCACACAAGCCAAGCAAGTCAGTATAACTACAAGTACAAGTAATATCCTCCTCACTCAACGAATTATGAACGAATTCGATCGACCTGAAACTGTGGATCACGCAGAAGAAAAATTACGGTTTGCCTAAAATATTCAAAGATTAGTCCTGTAATGATCAACACCCACACAAGCCAAGCAAGTCAGTATGACTACAAGTACAAGTAATATCCTCCTCGTTCAACGATGTTATGAACGAATTCGATCGACCTGAAACTGTGGATCACGCAGAAGAAAAATTACGGTTTGCCTAAAATATTCAAAGATTAGTCCTGTAATGAATTTATTCTGGGCTTGTTTTGTAAAAATTCTAGACACATTTTTTTCTCGATCTTATGATTCAAAATAAAAGGGTAGGACTCTATACGGAGTTCATTTTTCGATACAGTTAAAATATTGATAGAGCTTATTGAGGGCCAATCGTGCATCAGACATCTGTCTTTTCTTGTAAACTTGGTTTAAATTGACTAGGGTGCGCTAATAGTTTTGAAGAACTTATGTGTCACAGAGAATGAATGATACAACTCATTATTTATCTGAAAAACTATAATTTTGACTTAAACGTTGGAGAGACTTAAACGTTGAATCATGACTATTTATGTCCAATTACTTTTTTACATAAATTGTCAACTTTTGGCATATAAAGAACAGTTTTGTTTTTGTTTTGATATTTTTGATTTTGAAATGTCTTTGGTAAAACATGTATGTTGAGGATCCAGTTTCCCAGCAAAAACTGACTAAACAAAGAATGCAGTAATAGAGGACTAACTGAACTTTGATTTTGACCAGAAACGTTTTTAGTCTTCTGATTTATTTTTTATGATAAATTCTGTATAGAGTTCTGTGTCACAAATAGCTGATTTTAAATAAAAAAGACCATCTCAAAATGTAAAACTGTTTAAGGAGCTTCGGCACCTCTCGACTTCCAAATTATCTGCTCGGATTCAAACTCTATCACAGTCGGCTGGAAACCACCACTGAGTCCGAGAGGAAGAGTCGACCAGTACGAGATCAAGTACGACAAATCTTACGACTCACTAAATTCGGTGAACATCTACCGTAACAACATGTATAGTCTAGACCTCCCGGATGTTCCTGAGTCATCAGCGAGATACGCGACACAACTAGTCGACAGGACAAACTCGCAAAGATTTGAAATGAAAATTGACAAATTGGAACCGAACTCAACTTATTACTTTAGGGTAATTTGTAACAACTAATCTGTTTCTAACTTAGTTATTTTGAGCGACAATTGAGCCTTCGGTATCGAATCACCTGTCTCCTGAACGAAGTGTAGTCTTCCAGAAACTGGATTTTTGATTCATAAATATCGTCTTGGCGACATTTTTAACAGGCATCTAAATGTCTTCGAACATGAATTATTATTGAATATGGTACAATTTTACGCGTTTTTTAAGGTTTTGATTCAGTCAAAGTAATTGTTAAACAGTTTTAGTCAAACTTGGCGATTAATAGTGATCATAGCGACGCTTCATTTAATAATTTTCTGGCTTGAATGTGTTTGAACTTATTTAGGTTCGAGCTAAGAATGGATTCGGAGAGGGTGAATGGTCACACGACGCAGTTGGGAAGAGTGAATTCTGTGAGTCACACTTCAAATATCGCTTTAACTCTTATGGCCATTAACTTGAAATATTATGAAAGAGAAATCTTATTGCCATTTATTGTTCCGACAATTTGAAAAATATGGAGGAACTTTGCATTCGGGTCTGTTTGATTTTTGGTGTAACTTCGAGCTAATATGGTGAGCAATTTTAATTTTGAAATTAATTCAAATTTTTAAACAATTTTAAGACTATTTTAAAAAATCTCACTAATTTCAAAAAAAAATCTTATTTTTTTTTAAAACTACAATCGGAACATTCTGTGCTACTTGCACAGTAACCAGCTATCCTTGATTGAACTATGAACTTTGTTTGCTTATGAATCCGTGGCTTCGTGACACCATGGTTTATTTAGAAGCTTAGACTATTTTCCGGCCTTTTATCCCCAAATTTGTTTGATTTTCAAGTTCGAAAATGTAGTTAAAGTGTCACGATATAACAAACTTTGATAGAATAAATTTAAAAAAACTGAAATTTTTTTAGAGCTTAGGCATATTAGAAATTAATAGACATAATAAAAAAAACACATTGAAAAACAGTTTTTATAAAAAATTGAACAGAAAACGACAAAAAAATCGTGAAAAATCAAAAAAATTGCAGGAATTTTTTTATTTTGAAAAAAAAATTGAGTTTTTTAATTCTCGAAATGGCGGAAACAAATTCTAAAAACTAACTTTACTCGTTTTAACGGCTTAAATTAAGCATAAACAAGCTTAAATTGAAAAAGTTTTCACGGCTTAAATTAAGCACAAGTAAGCTATTGGAAGCCTGCTCTGCTCGCTCACCGTATTCGGTCGAAATTAGACCAAAAATCAAAAATTTCAAACGGGTTTTTCTCGACACTGAGAAAATATTTTCCGATTTTTCCAATAGCGTTTGAATTACCACTGAAAGATTTTCAACATGCTATATCAATGGACACTTTCCGATTATTATTTTTTGTACCCACGGGCGGATCTAGGATTTTAATTCGATTTTATTTTCAAAAAATCCGCCCCCCCCCCCCACTTAATCCACCCCTGGTGGTACCTGATTTTGCGTGGAAAACAAAAAAAAACTAAAACACACCCGAATGATCGGAACAACAAGCAAATTATACAGTGAAGAAGAGGAAGCTAACTGACAACGAGCCGAAATGTTCATTTTTTTCTGTTTATGTTTGTGCAGCCGTGTGTCTGAGTAGCTCTGCCCTTAGTGGTCGTGGGGCACTGGATTCCGTCTCCTCGACTGCCAATGTAGCCGTCATTTGTGCTATATTTGTGGGTGTCGTCCTCACCATCACCATTATCATAGCCGCTGCCATCGGATACTTCGGGTGGGTAAACAAATTACAAAAAGAATCAATATAAGATAAAAGTAACAATGAAAGCCGCACGATGTGCAAGTATTCTTCAAGTGATAGAGAATCATAGAAAACGCCGTAAAATCTCTTTGCCCTAAATATAATGCGTCTGTTAAAATGTGAATTCAAAGCTTCCAAGCTATTTTCTCTTGACATCAGCAATTTTTTTTCAATTTCAGCTCAACTAAAAAAAAATTAAGACATCACTCGGAATCATCATGAAAAAAACTCACCTGAATCTTAAGTTAATCCCTAATATATGGTCGAAACAACAAGAAAAGCCAAATTATGCTCGTTGCTGTCAGATACACTGAGCAAAGCTATCCACACAGCTATTGCTGTAAGAGAATTTTTAAGAAAAAAAAAACTTCCCATGAAGTCAACGAGATCCCCATTGGTTAGGTAAAAACTTACGGCAAAGATCGTAAAATCGGCGCTAGGCACTGAATGTTCCGACTGACCCTATTATGTCGATGAAAAGGTTTTTGGTTTCAAAAACTGTTGAAAAATGTGTGAAATAAAACCAGCGTGTCTTTTTTTGTTTTTTAAATTTCACACGTCATCCAAAGTACTAAGTGACACATAATGCGTCTGTTAAATCATTTATTAAGAGCAAATTTCTTGCCTATTTTTAATTAAAATTGATTGAATTTGCCGCATATGCTTTAATAGAGCAAAATATATTGCTCAATAATTATCCCAGTTTGATTTATACTTATAAAGTAGTCCCAAACTTCGTTTTCCATATTTTCAGAAAATTTATTTCGCTGGTGAGATCTTTTTAATTACTCGCCTTGGGCGTCAATATGTTTTAAGATAGTGAAATTTATATGCGCACCATATATGAATAGTTAAAAAGTCAAAATTTGTCAGAAAATCACCCCGAGCACAAACAACTGTCACTTTCGTCGAAAAATGGAACAGTTACAATGGTCTTTGTCATCTACAAGTGTTCTGTAAATTAGGGGTTTCTAAGTGAATGTTAATGAACGAATTGATAATACACATTTAGAACAAATGATGTTTTTTTTCGGATTGTTTTTAGAAGAAAAGTGTTTAGAAGAAAAGTTTTTCATTTTGCAGTTTCATTTTTAATTTTTTTCAAGTTGAATTCAATTTCTTTTGTTAAAAAGCAAGTCATGTTTGTTCTTTAATATAGAAAGTGCAAATTTCGCGAAAAATGTGATTGATTTTAAATGCGCAGAATATAGTAACCAGCCGCAAGTCATATTGCAATTTCTTTAAAACAGTAAAAAAACGAAATTTGAGCAAAATTTGTGAAAGTTTCGAAACTGCATATAACAGTTACATAACTATAATTTAACAGTTACGTTTTTCCGACTGGTATATTTGGTAGCATGTTTATACTTCGGTTGTTTTATAGATCACCAAATTTGGCATACAAGTTGTAGAGATTTTTTAAATGTCATTTTCTACGGAATTATTTTCTACAAGGATAGCCGGTTATTGTGGAAGTAGCACAAAATTATGTGGAATTAGCTTCCGGTTATTGTGGAAGTAGCACAAAATTATCAGACCATAGTCTTTAAAAAACCTAGAAAATTTTTTTTTGACTTAAAGTAGTGTAAAAGTCTTCTGCGTGGTGTGATAAAAAGATCTGACTTGAAGCTATAAATAAGGCTCATTTATAAGTGACAGTCATGCTAATAAACGCAAATTGGAAAAAGAATTTGTACGGAAATGACTAGAAAAACAAACAAATAACATATAAAAAATGTTTTTAAATAAAACATTTTTTTGCAGAGAATGATTTAATGAATTTGGTTTCTAAAATTGCTTGTTCTATTTCTCATAATTGTAAAAAAAAACCGAAAAAATTAAACCAGTGTTTCTCGATACTGAGAAGGTTTCTTGAAATTTTTAATGTCGTTTGAATCACGACTGAAAAGGCTTCATTTTGGTAAATCACTTGACTCATTCCGATGATGATTTGTGATACCTGATTTTTCGGGTGAAAATAAAGAAAAAATTAAAACCCACTCGAATACAAAGTTGCTCCACATTTTTACAATTTTCAAACAGTCAGAACAAAAAAAATATTTTCCGGAGTACGGAGACCGTACTTGTGCAAAAATTACATTAAAGTTTTTTCGAAATACGGATACCTTACTCTGGTAAAAACTCTTTATCGATTAATTAGTTTGCACACAATCAACCCCAAAAGAAGGCACCAGAAAACAAAGGGATAAAGTGTGCCTTCAGGTTATTTGAACTAAATTATTTAATCGTACGCACAAAGAAGACGTTTATCGATCCAAAGTAAGATATAACTCGATCCAAAAAAATTCAAACATATTTTGACCGTTTGAAATCATCACATTCAAAAGTTTTTTTTATTATAATACCTGAGGCATCTGGAATCAAACGCAATTTAACGTAGAAATAACGCAGGTATTTATGTGATAAAGACGCCGGAAATCAAATGACAAAAAATTACATTATGCGAAAATCAAGTTCTAAGAAAGTGAAACTTGATCTTTATCTGTCAAATTAATCTTTTCGAGCAGCAGGAACTCTTCAATTGTTTTAGTTTTTAGGCCCGTAATTGTTTCGACCATTGAAAATGGGGAGGAATTTGGTATTCTGGTGTGTCTTAGTTTTTTCTTTTTAATTTCCACTCAAAATCAGCTACCTCAAATCATCATCAGACTGAGTTGAGTGATATATCATATTAAAGCCCATTTAGTCATAATTTGAACCATGTTAAAAAAAATTACAAAACTTTTTCTAGTGTCAAGGAAAACTAGTTTCCATTTTTGATTTTTCGTCTTATGCGAGCGAATAAAGCAATCAGTCGTATTTTAATGGCTTAGAAGCTTAGAATAGCTTAATTTAAAACGTAAAAACTTAGTTTTACTCGAGTACATGTTTTTTTTTGAGTATTTTAGCTCATTTTAGGATTTTTTCTACAAAAATTACTTTTCAATTTGCTTAATTTACTGTGAATGTCAAATATACCCAATCCTCAGTTTTTCGTTCAGCTCCTTTTATTACACGATTTATTTTACTGAATTTTTTAAGACTAGGTTCGGAACATTCTGTGCTACTTGCACAATGACCGGCCCGGCTATCATTGTTTTAAGTTGCATTCAAGTTGAAAAGTGCTTTAAAAAGCCTTGAAGTAAGTTAAGTTTTCACTTTTTAATGGCAAACTGGTACACTTTATCAACACCCGAGCAAAAAAAGTATATATTTTACTTCTTTTTGATATGAACAGTTGAACGAAGTTTATCTGCTATATCAATAAATCCACTCTCCTCCGCACACTTTTGAATTTGAAATTCGGTTTTCAAAGGACCATTTTGTCTTTAGGAGCTTTGGCTTCTGGTTTGTCTCAAAAACTAGGCTCTTTTCAACTTTCCCCCACGCTGGAAATTCAAGTTTTAAGAAACTAATTTAACGTTGTCATAATGCAATGAAATTTTGCATAGTGAAAAAACGGCAATTATTCGATATATAAATTTTTTTTCTACATTTTTTCTTAGCTCTTTGTACATTGAAAAACAAAAACAAGGATAGCCGGTTACAGTTGCAGATAGCTTAAAAAACGTCTTAAAAACACACAAAAAATTTTTTTTAAAAAAGCCAAATTTGCGTGATTTTTTCTGCATGGTGTGATAAAAATATCTAAATAAAAAACTAGAAAACAGACAAGCAAACTCGAAAGTCATAGCAAGCTAAACTAATTGGAAAAAAAATCATAAGAAAATCAAAAAAAGATTTAGACTTTTTGATTCCCAAAAGAGCGCTAAAAACACTCCAGAAAGCGAGACTAAACAGCATAAACAAGCTATTGCAAGCTATAAACAAGCTATTGTAACCCTGTTTACTCGCTTTACTCGCTCGAATTTAGACGCAAAATCAAAAAATTTCTGGACAACTTTTCACAAATTTTGCTATAATTATGATCTGATGCATTAGAAATTCCATAGCATCTGTTCTCTGCTTTACTTGTGGCAAGGGTTTGTGTGTTTATTTGAGCGTCCGTGGCTGAGTGGTTAGTGTGTGAGGCTCATAATTTCTAGATCGAAGTGCTTTTTGCCATGTTCACGCTAGTGTTGTAAAAGAAAATTGTTTTTTCTTGGAGTGTAATCAAAAATTGATGTTTAGCATCAACTGTTCGGTTGGTGGGGAAAAAGAAAGAGACAAAGATTCGCGCACAAGTGTGCCCTACAAGATAGCAACTTTGGCCAGACACGGAGGATCCACATTAAACCAAAATCAGATCGGTAACATCCTTTATTAACTTGTTAATTTCACTCTTAGTTTTTATTATATTCTTTTTTATTGAGCCCATTTAATTCTGAAAATTTTTTCATGTATGGTTAAATGTTGAAAAACTTCTTAAAAAATAGCCACGAAAACTTATGTTTCGAACTTTTTTATTGACAGTGCATAAAAAATTAATTAATATTTCATAGGTAATTAGATCCGTGTAGAGTGAAGAGAGGATATTTAAAAATATTTTGAAGTTTTATCGTTCGGAATTGCATGCCTAAACTTCCAAAACATTTAGTTTCTCAATAATTCAAGTTTCTCTGTTTGAGCAACTTTGAATGGCCTAGTTTGAAATTGAAATGTTGCGTATTTAGAAATGATCGAGCAAACATATCTCTCCAATCCAGACTGTGGCCTGCGGCTGTCCAACTATCACCAAGAGACAGACTCGCTCATCAACGAGGCCATAGGCAATCATTCTAGAACATTCTCTGGAGGAACCCTTTCCTTACCAAGAGGATCCACAGGGTCTACAAACGGGTTTGCAAGCATGCGGGTTCATCATTCACCTGGAAAAATTACTCGCATCCCTGTTGGACCCGGAAGCCTGGATCAACCGGACTTCTTCGAACGTCGCGCTCCCGACGGAAACGAAAACAACCCGATTGAATTTGGGTTGTTGAGTCGCCGTCGCGAAGAAAAGAAGCTGATGTTTTCAGACCAAGTGTCCGTCAGAGGTCGAGGCAGATCGGGATCTCAAGTAGGAAGCCTACAAGTAAATTTAGCGAATTAGAACTACATCGTATACTCCAAAGAAGTGTTTCAAAATACAGTTTTTAGAGGGAGTTTCGATGGAACTTTTTCAAAATAATTTAAATTAAAAAAGATATCTAGATAGACAGATAGCGTAACTTTCAATGATTCAAAAGCTTCAACTCAAAACGGTCTGAAAATTGTGATGAACAAGAAACCATTTTTAATTTCAGAACCCGAAAATTATTACAAAAAACTCGAAGAAGTGTTTCTTATTAATTCAGGGGCGGATCTAGGATTTTCTCGAGAGGGGGGGGATTTTCAAAAATTTTTTCGACCTTTTTTTAAGTAGACCAAATTGATTTTTTGATCTCTCTCGAAACACTAAAAAGACCCTGTTTCGGGCAAATATTTTGCGCCGCACGCAAAGTGATGAAAAAACAAGCCAAAAAGGGCGTTTTTAGGCACTTTTTGGAAAATTTTGAGCAAAAAATTGCGTTTTTTCGGCGCGCGCTCCTTCCTCAAAATTAGGCTCCTTTAGAAAATTTTTGGGATCTGTAACGATATCTCAAAAATGTACAAAGAGGGGACCCTTTGGCTCGACAGGGGGTCGAATCCCCGCCCCAACCCCACCCCCCGTATTGCGCCCCTGTATTGTTGTATCGTGTCTTTCCAAACGAGTCATTAGACACACTAATTGTGTCTTTACTAACTGTGTATCTACTAACAGCTTTACTTTCGTGTCATAGCACGATGACTCACATCACTCGTCAATCAAGAGCGAACTTAACCGAGGAGGGCTGTGTGTAGCAGGCGGAAGTGGAGGAGGGGGAGGGGGAGTGACCGTTCCTCGGTCACCCACCGGAAGTATGCAAGGTATCATGGTAGACTTCTCCAGTCGCCCCTCATCCGTATCTCCTCCTCGGCTCTCGAGGCAAAACACCCTCCAGGCCCAAGTCACCAGTGACTCATCATGTTTAGTAGTGACCCCGACTGACACGCACCCCCCGCCCTTTCCCAATCAACACGGGTTGAACTTCAAGCACGCACCATACAATCCAAACACTATTAGAGCCATGGAGAAAAAGATGTCCCTGGACTCGCAAAGTTTCTACAAGTTAAAATAAAAGCATTTACTCAAATATGAAATAAGCATGATTAACTGTTAGTTTCGAACCAAGACCGGAAGTGTCGCAATCCTGCCGTCTCTACGCTGAGAGATCTACAGGAGAACTTGAGATTACTTTTACACGTCGTGCAAAAGATCAATTTAGGGTCATGTAGAAAGAATGAAACAACAATCAGTCTTAATGAATAATTCAAGTATTAAAAAAATTTTCCCAATCAAGTTGTCAAGCGATATTTTGAGAAAACTAAATGCACACTGAAAAATATATAAAAAACAACAATTGCAAGGCGAAATACAAAATGTAAAAATGATTTGCAAATGGCAATTACATCAAACTTACGTTATAATGCTCAAATTTTTTTTGTACTCACACTTGTTGGTAGTTTGAAATGTTAATTAGATCACTGTTTTTAATTTTTGCTAAATTAATTCAAAACTGGAGCTATTCAACCTTATCAACCATGTTTGCCCTTTTTGTATTTCAATTTTCGTACTGATGTATTTAGCCGCAGAGATGAATCATATTTCAAATAAAACATTCAAAGCACTCAATTACCTATAACCCGAAAGTTTCCGATAGATGTTTTCAAGAAATTTGTTTGAATTGAGACGACACAGAACAGCAATTTTTTGTTATTTCAGTCATGTTTATTTTTTGATTGTGATAACTCTTGAAGCTGATTTTTCAAATTTTTTGACAGATCCGAGCTCAAAAATTACCGCTTAGAGAGCGACAGGTGTGACAAGGGCTCTTAAGTTTTAATTTAAACAGTATATGTTGGGTTTTGAAAATTTCAGCTGAAAATAAAATGTTTCGACCCAGTGTATTTTAATTGGGTTCAATTTTATCAAAAACTATTGATTGATGAAAATATCTTTGAATTTATGAGTTCCAAGGTTCAAAAAAAAACATTTTTAAAATTTAAGTAACATAAAAATGGACGTTTTTAGTTGCTTTTCTGGAGTTCATCAAGACTTTTTCAAAACTCCGTTGGCTATGTGTTAATCAAAACACTACTGATTTATAACGAAATTTTTGCTGATTCGTTTGGTGTAGGAAAATGAAAATGAAGCCAACAAAAAATGGAAAAGTGTCGATGACCTCCAGGAAATAAAAAAAAATTCATTGACATTTTTTTGAATGACGAACTTCGAAGAGATGATTACATCAATTTGAAGCTCTTATAATTTCTAAATTTTCATATTTGAGATTTTAAGCAAAAACAAACCACTTAGAAGAGAAAGATCAGCCGTCATTTAGACGAAAACATACCATGCAAAAGTCAAAGGAGCAAACGTTTGATTTAAAACTAATGTTCAAAAATTTACTGAGTTTGAGCTTAAATAATCGATTGCGTTTTCTAGGTGTAGAGCGTTGATTTTAATTTGAACAACAGAAAGTGAAAAATGTTTCAAGAAGATTTTAAAGAAATTTTAACCGCAACAAAATAGTTATTACATTCAGGAGCGGATTTAGGGGGGGGGTGTTGGCGGACGCTTCATCTCAGGTATTCGAACCTCTGCAGACCCAACAGCCCCCTTTTGCTACTTTTGAAGAAATCCATTTTTGGCCGACCGACCCTGCAATTTTTCTAAAGGCGCCAATATAAACTAATTTTGAGGGGGAGGGCGCGCCGAAAAAAGGCGATTTTTTGGTCAAAAATTTTCAAAAAGTGACTAAAAATGCCGTTTTTGAACTGCGCAGAATATTAGGCTAAAACAGGGACTAAACCGTGCTTAGGGAGAGCTCGGAAAATCAATTCGGTCAACCTAAAAAAAAGGTCGACAAAATTTTTGAAACTTTTCGAAATTTTTTTGAAAATCTGCTCCACCCTCGAGAAAATCCTAGATCCGCCCCTGACTATATTAGCTCCAAATTGTCAAACTCACCACTTTTGACGTCAAGCCCCATCTGCCAAAAACTTTCCCAATTTGCACAGAAAATTTCAAAATTTCAAGCAGAGTTAACCGTCTCTGGCAATGCAACAGCACACGCATAGCATTGCAAGCAAGCAAAAAAAAACGAGACGTAAATCACTACGTCGGAAAAATCAGAATAAAAAACTCAATTACAGAAAACGGTAGAAAAAAATACCATCATCAACTTTAAATAAGTTTCCCTGTGCCAAGCAGTTTATAAGACGACAATACTTGGGTCGATGTTGATTCAAACAAACGAGCTGACAAAACATAGAGAAATCATTTGATCAAAAAAATAAAAAAAAATAAGGCAAAAAGTTTTACTAACTCAGATTTACAAGATCCAAATGATATATTTACAAATAACCAAAGGACCGCCAATTATAGCTGAAATTGCTTACATCATGAGGAAAATCCGATCTCTGAAAATGAAGCCCATGAAAATGGGCAGACAAACGAAAGTCAGACTATCTGACCAATCAATTTTTCCCAGAAAATTAATTTCAATTTTATAAGCGTAATCTTGAAAAAATTAAGGTTCGGCCGAGATTCCAACTCCAAAAATTAGAATCCACAGGCGCCCGCATTACCTCTAGAAGGATCTTGGAAGTTATTAAAATTCAATATAAAAAACAGAGGCATAGCTGAGCTTCGCAACAAATATAAACAAGTATAAAGCTAAAAAAAACTTAACAAAGACAAAAACTCTACAATATGACAGCTAAGGCGACAAAACCTAAGCAGACAAACAATGAGACGACCCTTTTTGTGAACTAGAATATTTCCCGTTTAAAAAAAAAAAAACAGGTCCTGTCAGGTTCGAACCCAGGCATATTTGTTACCTCCAGACCAAGGGTGCTTCAAAGAAATTAGAACAATGAAATAAAATTGAATTAAAAACCAAATGAACCTAATTTTACCATTTCTAATTTTGACCATTTTGTGCCTAAAATTATTTACGCGAAAAAAAGCCTATTACCCGATTTCAATACCCTTACTATCGCAAAGGTAAACAAGTTCAGTTTCTTACAGGTCTGCAAACCAAAAAGTTTTGTAATCAACCATTTTAAATCGACCATAAAAAATCTTGGCTTTTACCAGGGGCGGATTTGGGGGGGGGGGGGGGGGGGGGAAGGGGCGGACGCCCCCCTCCCCGCAGGGAGGGATTCGACTACCTGCCCACCCAAAAGGTCCCCTCTTTGTATTATTTTGAGATACCCACTTTTGGCTGACGGACCCTAAAATTTTTCAATAGGCGCCTTTGGCGCCAATATATACTAATTTTGAGGTGGGAAGGTGGGAGCGCGCGCCGAAAAAACGCAATATTTTAGTCAACGTTTTTCAAAAGAGCCTAAAAACGCTTTTTTGGCCTGTTATTTCAAACTTCTGTCTGGGGCGCAAAAAATTTGGCTAAAACGGTATTTTTAGCGCTTCAGGAGAGCTCGGAAAATCAATTTGGTCGACCTAAAAAAAGGTCGACAAAGCTTTCAATTTTTTTTTTGAAAATCCGCCCCCCTCGAGAAAATCCTAGATCCACCCCGGCTTCTACAACCGTGACTGGAGAGTAGTTCGCTCAAACAAGTAAACGCTAGAAGCGGCTAAAAGATCTATCTCCTAAATTTTGGGCAACTAAGTCACCCCGTCAGCCATATATTCGTTTGGTTGATCTAATGGAAGGAAATAAAAGAGTAGCTGTAAATAATCAATGCCCTCTACCTTTTAAAGAGTGGCGGTCAAATGTTAAAAAACAGCAGAAAATACCCCTCCCCTACTTATTCTTCAATACTTTAATAAAGCAATTAACTGAATACAGAAATTGAATACAAAATGAATAAAAAATGAAAAAAGATTTCGAAGTAGAAAAATGATTCTTTTTGTGGACAGAATGATCAAAAGCTCCGATATCAAAAAGCATAAGGCATTTAAAAGAACTTGTAACTTGGTGAACAGCCCAAGAACGAACGAGTAAGTCGTTTGTCACTTCAATTCTTGGCTGGAATAAAAAAAATCGACATACTTTTTTGAAAAATCCTGCCTAAGGAACTCACATTCAAAGTATAATTTTTCTTGTAGCTACGAAGTGAATGGCGCGCCCGACTTAAGCCCACCATTGTAAAAAAAGTTAAAGTACATCTGTTCCTAGGATTCAGCTTTAAAATTTTTTTTTTCATCAAAAAATCAATAACGAAAAATATCTATATGACACTATCATCTATCGGATATAACAAAATCTATCTAAATGAGAGCTAAGCACACTTGTTTCTATCAAGAATTGATTCAAGGTACTGATTTTTCATCATTTATCACAATATCCCAAGTTTTTAAAGCTGATCAAGCTTGCATTATTCCAGTGTTGATTGAATGATACTCGCTTATACAAAGAAGCTCCATAGCTGCGTGCAACGTCGATATCTGCGACTTGATAGTCCCTGCCAACTGCGTCAGCTGTTCTTTCGTCTCCAAAAGGTCAACTGATTCTGTAAATGCGTCGTAATGAAGTGTGAACGGCTTCGGGATTTTGGTGGCGAACTGTTTTAGCTTTTCCTGTGCTTCCTCGAAGCTCTGGGTACAGAAATACGTCGGCTGGTATTCGGTTATCGGGTACTTCGTCACAGAAGTCACTTCTGGATCAAACTCTTTGATTAGCGGTTTGTCACCTGAATTGAGAATTCAACTCTTGCAGAAGGTTACGTAAAATTAAACAAATGATAGCTTTTCCACGGTTTAAACTAGCAAAATATATATTTTAAGAAGAAAAAAGAAGTTTTTCATTCTTTCATTTTTTTTCAAATGTTGATATTTTTTGTGCTCTTAGACAGGGTCGGATCTAGGATTTTCTCGATTTCTCGATCTAGGAAATAATTTCTGCTCCGCAAGCAAAAATTTGAAAAAATAGGCCAAAAAAGGCGCTTAAAATTAGTATATATTGACGTCGAACGCGCCTCTTAGAAAAATTTTAGGGTCCGTCACCAAAAATGGATACCTAAAACTAGTACAAAAGGGGGACCCTTTGGGTCGGCAGGGAGTCGAATTCCTGAAAAGAGGCGTAAGCCCCCCCGCCCCTAAATCCGCTGGTGCTCGTAGACAAATTACCAATGGTTTCATTAATGAATAAAAAAAACTTCAAGCTTAAAATTATTCAATACGAAGTAAATTCTCACTGAAAGTTCGTCGAAAGAAGGGAAAACTTCAAACCAATTTTTCGTGAAAGTTAGAGAGGAAACTTTTTAAATTTGAATAATATTGATCGAATCAGCAATGAAAAGGACTTCAATATGATATATCAATCGAGCTCGCCTGACTTTCCTTTGCTTCTTGAAACTGTTTGAAAACAGTTTCAAGAAAACTCTTGAAAACATCTCAAAGCTCAAATATCATTATTATGAACTCCTATAATAACTCAGAATTCTTCTTACCAAAACAAAATCACTTCTGAGTGCCAAAAAGTGGACAAAAAATTGATGATGATGATATGATGGATTTTACACACAAAAAATATACCGAAGTATCAAGTTGTTTCCACTTGGCTGACGGCAAAAAATTGAATGTCAGTTTGATACTAGTGATTCAAAAACTCGCCGTTATGATTAAAAACATTCCAGTGGAAATCTAAATGCTTTATTTGGATTTTTAAATGCATCACAAAATCAGTATTTTCTTAGGGTTGGGTGAGGATTTACATTTTTTTTTACTTTTAACGAAATTCTTCGGAAAGATAAGCCTGTAATGTAATAATATACTCAGAGCGTATTGCAGCTCTCCAAAACTGCTAAGTAGTCCAGCTCCAAATGCCTTCAATTGACCGCCCTGTTTGCACAGTCCAAACTCAATCGTGAACCAATAGAGTGTAGCCAACTTCTCAATCCACTCATCAGGTGCTCCCAGGGACGCAATTCCGATTTCCTGAGAAAAGCGAGCGAATGTCGGATCGCACAGCAAGGGAACATGGCCGATCAATTCGTGACAGACATCTGGCTCCGGAGTGTACAATGGAAGAGATGAGTGCCGAATGTACTGAGTCGAGTGGAACACTCGGAACGCCAAGCCGGCGAGGAAATCACGCGATGACAGAAGTCCTGCCACCGGTCGGATTGTGAACCCAGTACAACTCTTCAAGAAATCTGAAACGTCTTGAAGTTGCGGGATGTTATCGGGTTTGTATCCACAGTTAGCCACAAGGAGTGGGAAAATGTAGTTGAACTCGGCACATGCGTGAGTTTTGAACAAAGTCGAGAGGCTGTTGAAAATAGTTGACCAAGTTCCGACTTCTTCAGCTGTGTATTCAACTCGAGGAATCGGAGTTCCATGTCGATATTTGTACGCAATGTCAGCAAACACCTTTCGTCGTTTGGTATATGCTTCGTCTTTGAAACCTGGGTGGTCGGCATCAAGTTCGGACCCGTAACTCAGAATCCGATGCGCAAACTCATCCAAGTCCTGTTTCTTTCTTGGGAACCAAGGAACAGATTCTAATGAACTCTCACCACGGCTCAAAACTTGCACGTAAGCTGTGTTCAAACTCAGCTCCTCTAGAGCAGCTTTCAATTCGTTATCTCCGACTTCGTGGTCAGTGGTCATCAGGAACTCGTAAGTACCTTCGGCTCGCTTCGAAGGACGCGACTCGATATGGTTTAATGTGACACCATTGGTCTCAAAAGGCTTCAATGCTACCGCAAGAGCACCAACTTTATCTTTTATTCCAAAAATTATGCTTGTATGAGAAGTATTCTCTTCGCAACCACTCGAAGAGGCGCGCACATGATTGTTTCCATTAGACACCATATTGAAAAACTATCTAGCTGCTTTGTTAAAATTAGGATTTCTTTTATTGACTGAAAATCGTCCCAATTTTGGTTTAAATGAGATCTGTACACTCAACAAGAGCTACGACGATAACCAAAAATCTTCCATTGGCGTTGTTCAGATAATGAAGACTTGAGAAGAAGTCTTAATCCGACAATCAAACAGATGATGAAGATTAAGATTCCGCCCGTCAATTGACCTCTATGAGATCACGAGTCATCTGCTAGTCTGATGTCGTCCTCCAAAGAAAACAATCATTTAAGTCTCATTCATTTACTTTCGATGACATAATTAATTGGAAAAAAAAAACAAGCGACATGTAACAGAGGCTTCTCACAGCTGTGCAAGTACAGTCACAGGACGTAGATGCCGCAACTTTTAGTTTACAATATATGAATTGAACGAAAAATTTTAAGCGTTTTTGCCATTTTCTCGACAACTACTTGAGATTCACGGTTGAAACTTTGACATGTGATGCATGAAAATGTTTATAAGAATATAGCCGGATAAAAACGGTACAAAATTGATTTCAATGCGTTTCTTAGCCTTTTTATTAGAGAGTAACAGAGAGGTGTTCTGCGTGCCGTATCCATTGGAGAGCTAAAGAAAACCATAAGTCAACTAAGCCAAAAGTCAACTAAAACGTTCGACAAAATCGTCAAAAGGTGATCTACCGAAACTTTACATATTTGTTTTGAATGAAATCAATTTTCAGGATAAACATCAAGAAGATACTTGTCAGCGTCAGTGAAGCATTAAAAAGAAACAACGCACTAACTAAGTCGATTGTACCTGGGCAGACGCCCGATGATATTGTTAACGAAAAAATTTTGAGCTACAAAAAAGCCCCTTCCCCAAACAACTCAAACAATTAGGAATTTTTTCTTTTTTCAAACGACGTAGTATGAGGGGGCTAAGCCGATAATAACTTGGAAAGAAATCTTCCATTCACATGTAAAAAAACACAGAGGCAAAGGGAAGAGGCAAAGGGAAGCTTCCACCACTGAAAAGACGACTTAATAACGACTAAAAGGGCTTTAGTATGATATAGAACTCGACTCATTCCGCTGTTTATTAGTGGTACTTTATTTTGCGTGGAGTTCCCAATGGTCGAGCACAAACACTTGAGAACTCTTTGGGGCAATTTGAAAAATGTCAGAACAATTTTTGTTCGAAACATTTGAAATCGTCAGAAATAAAATTTTGAAAAAAAAATCACACAAGTCTTGCAGTGCTTAAAATCAATATATGCAAATTGTTTTAACAATGGAAATACACTGAACTTCAAAAGAAATCACAAGTCAAACCGCGAAAAATCAAAACTAAGCGTGAACAAATTTTAAGACTTTTTCCTAAAAAAAAAACAAAAAAAATCAGCAAGACCTATATAAGACTACTCACTACATTCATTACTCTTTATAATGAGTGCTTTTTTTGAGCTGGGAATTCTAAAAATAAAAACTGATTTTTGGAACTAGAATATATGCAACATTTTATCTGGTTTTTCCATTTTTGTTAATGGAGCTTCAGTTGCATTCCAATGAAAAAATCAATTGATAGTCAAGCAAACAAACTGAAACTTAGAGCAAGAAAAAATTTTGAATACTTTCTCTGAAAAAGCTACTTCAGTAAAAAAAATATTTGCACAGCTTTACGAGTAACGATTGGAGTGATACCGCGTATGGACATCGATTCTTCGTTTGCTTTCACAACTACAAAAATTGTTACCAAATTGATTAAAACTTAAAACAAAAAATGAATTCGAAGTGTTAGTAGAAAAAAACTTATGCTTTAAACAATAACATACATTTAATTTATCGCAAACTGGCAATTTTCAAACCCCATATTCTTGTCAAAAAGAACAGTAATAAAATATCTTTTTTTTTATTTTTTCAAAACAGGGCATTGATATCTTTAAACTGATTTTTCACAAATAACAAAATCCATTAGAAGCGGCTAGTTAAAAAGAGGTTAAGGCAAGAAGTAAAATTATTCCGTCATTTTCACCGAAAAATGAAAATGACTTGTTTTATTAGCCCCAAGAATCAAGCTAACGCTCTAGAACGTGTTCAATAACTTCACTTCTGATTCTAGCTAACGCACTAGAACGTGTTCAATAACTTCACTTCTGATTCTTATCACGACTGAAAGGTCTATAATGCAATATTTAAACAATCGAACTCCTACGAGAATTTTAGGTACTTGAATATCCCAAAACAGACCAAAATCAATTGTTTTCATCCCAATTGTCCTTGAGTAAAACTAAGTTTTCACGATTTAAACACAGAGGCGAAGTTGCACTTCGCCTACACAAGCAAAAACGTGCCCGATAACGCTACTGGGAGAAACTAAATGATTAAAAATTTGAGTCTACATAATTTCTTCAGTGACGCACGCCAATTATAAGTCTAGATAAATGATAAGTGACAAAAACCAATTATGACGCATTAGCAGTACCAGTCAATTTGAAAAAAAAAATATTTCGCAACTAAGAAGCCTCAATTTATAGAGCGGACGCATTTTAACTAGTACAAGAAAAATTTCACCGAAAACATCCGACCTTGCCCAGGTTCGAACTCTTATTTTCTTTCGGGTCTCCCTCCTTACCTCTACGTTACAAATCCATGATACCTTGAAGCTAAAGTGATATTTGTAAATAAACAATATGTGTGAATATCCTTAGCATTAGCTGTACTTAATTGCTTGTCATAAATCTTATGCACATAATGCAATAAAATACACTAACATTTGCAACTTAGTTTGGAAAAAAAGTTCGCTCTATTACATACGCTTTGATTGCGTACTAATCGACGTACTATTATAACCCAGTTGAGAAGCAAAAAGTTCAAACAAGTGAGTCAAGACAAGTGCTCGGAACAATAATGATTCTGGCTGAAACGTATATTCATGTTTTTGTTTGTTTTTCATCAAGGGATCTTACAATTAGAAACCCTATTGGCATCTACTTAAAAAAAATTCGTTTAAAAGCATTTTCGATGTTTTACGCTCTTTAAATTGCCTGCTCTTACATACAGCAATGGGAATCCAGCTAAACATATAACTTAGGATAAAAAACTTAAAATATTTTCTTGACTTAGCCAACAGACAATTGAAAAAGAGTCAAATCACGCAAGGAAAAACCAAGTAACTTGATTTTCAAAGAAAAAAAATATGGCCGGGATATATTTTTTATCCTGAGAAATCTGAATTTTGAAATCCACTTTCGAAACTAGCATTCATCACGTTTTTTTGTAATCAAACTACTGTTGTTCTACAGTGGATTTTGCCTTCCTTTCACACAGAGGCGAAGTTGCACTTAGCATACACAAGCAATAATACGACCGATAACGCTAATGGGAAAAACTGAATGAGTAAAACTTTGAATCAACAAAAATTCTCATGTGACGCACGCCAATTATGAGTCTAAATAATTGCTAAGTGAAGCAAGCCAATTATGACGCATTAGCAGTACCAGTCAATTTGAAACAAAATTACCAACTAACATACCTCAATTTATTAAGTGGACGCATTTTAACTGTTATACGAATAAGTTCATTAAAAACATCCGACCTTGCCTTGTTTTCTTATAGGTCTCGTTCTCTACCTCTATGCTGCAGATTCAGGATACCTTGAAGCTAAAGTGCTAATTGTAAAATAATACTCTAAGTGAATATCCTTAGCATTAGCAGTACTTATTAGCTGGTCAATGATCTTATGCACATAATGCAATAAAAGGAGACTGATATTTGCGATTTAGGTTGGAAAAAAATGGTTCATACTATCACACAAGCTTTGATAGTGTATTAATAGACGTACTATTATAACACCTATTCATTCAAATTGAAGTTGACAAGCAAAAAGTTCAAACCAGTGTTTTTGAAACAGAACAATCTTTAATAGGATAAGTGCTCGGAACAACAATGATTCTGGCTGAAACGTATGATTTCTATTTTTAGTATTGGGATCTTACAATTAGAAACCCTATTGTCATCTACTAAAATTTTAAAAAAATTTTCGATGTTTTAATGCTCTTTAACTTGACTCTAACATACAGCAATGGGAGTCCAGCTAAATAAAGATCTTATGTTAAGAAATTCAAATTACTCTCTTGACTTAGCCAACAGACATTTGGAAAAGTGTCATTGCACGCAAGGAAATACCGAATAACTTGATTTTCAAAGAAAAAATATGGCCGGGATATTTATTTCGGAAATCTGGAACTTGAAATCCACTTTCGAAACTAGCATCAATAAAGTTTTTTATAATCAAACCTTTTTTTTTCTACAGTGGATCTTGCCTTCCTTTCACACAAAGCCGAAGTTGTACACCAGCAAAAATATGACCGATAGCGCTACTGGGATAAACTGAATGAGTTAAACTTTGAATCAACAAAGTTTCTAAAGTGACGCACGCCAATTATGAGCCAAAATAATTGCCAAGTGACGCAAGCCAAATATGATGAATCAGCAGCACCAGTCAATTAAAAAAAATTACCAACTAAAATGCATCTATGTATAAAGCGGACGCATTTTAACTGTTACACGAAAAGTTCTTTTAAAACATCCGACCTTGCCCAGGTTCGAACTCTACCTCTATGCTACGGATCCATGATACCTTGAAGCTATAGTGCTATTAGTAAAATAAAACTCTTGAGTGAATATCCTTAGCATTAGCTGCACTTAATAGCTGGTCATTAAACTTATGCACATAATGCAATAAAAGAATTGATGTTTGCGACTTAGGCTAAAAAGAGAATTCATACTGTCACACAAACTTTGATTGTATATTGAAAGACCTACTAATAGAACACCTATTCGCTCAAATTAAAGTTGAAAAGCAAAGAGTTCAAACCTGTGTTTCTGAACCAGAACAATTTTAATAAGATAAGTGCTCGAACAATAATGACTTTCTAGCTAAAACGTATATTCGTGTTTTCATTTTTTGTGTAATGGGATCTTACAATTAGAAACCCTATTGGCATCTACTATAAGAAATATTTAGCTTAGAAGCATTTTCGATGTTTTAACGCTCTTCAACTTGTCTCTGACATACAGCAATGGGAATCCAGATAAAAATTTATCTTATGATGAAACATTTAAATTATTTTCTCGACTTAGCCAACAGACAATTGAAAAAGAGTCAATGCACGCAAAGAAAACCAAACAACATGAATTTCAAAGAAAAAATGATGGCCGGGATATTTTTTTCTAGGAAATCTGAAACTTGAAGTCTACTTTCGAAACTAGCATCAATAACGTTTTTCATAATCAAACCACTTTTGTTCTTCAGTGAATCTTGCTTTCCTTTCACACGAAGGCGAAGTTGTTTTTCGCATACACCAGCAAAAGTCTGACCGATAACTCTACTGGGAAAACTGAAAGAGTATAACTTTGAATCAACAAAATTTCTTAAGTGACGCACGCCAATTATGAGTCTACATAATTGCTAAGTGACGCAAGCTAATTATGACGCATTAGCAGTACCAGTCAATTTGAAAAAACTAGAAATTTACCAAGTAATAAGCCTCATTTTATAAAGCGGACGCATTTTAACTGTTACACGAAAAAGTTCATTAAAAACATCCAACCTTGCCCAGGTTCGAACCCTCTCATTTTGATGCGGGTCTCCTTCCCTACCTCTACGCTACAGATTTATGCTTCCATGAAGCTAAGTGCTGTTTATAGTATAATAGTCTGTGTTAATATCCTTAGCATTGGCTGTACTTTATAGCTGGTGATTGATCAAAATGAACTTTCAAAATGAACACATTTTGTCGCAACAATATTTGCGTCAAAACAATATTTGCGACTTAGGTTGGAAAAAGAGAGTTTATACTATAACACAAGCTTTGCTTGTGTAAGCAAAGAACATGAACTCAATTTTAAAAAGGATTCATAACTCAAACCTCAATAAAAAATATATTTGAGAAAAAAGCAATCATCACGACTTCTTTAAGTTGCACTAGGTTCATCTACTCTTAAAAACCAAATTTTTAAAGCTCTTTTAGATACTAAAAAGGCTACGCATTGGTTTAAATGCAGTCACCTAGATTTTAAAAAAAAATTGTCAAAATTAATTGGACAGAACTTATTTACACTATTTCTCGTAAATTATTTACAACTGTACAAAAAGGAAAAATGGACAGCAAACGTCAAAAATGAAATATAACCAAACTTTTATCTAATTGACATGACTGAAAGTTAGTTTGAGAAAGACACATTTGTGCAGCACAAGACGATGACTATTATAAGTTTTTAGTCTCATTCATTTTGAGAACAACTTTCTTGATGACGAAATTCGCAGGATTTCTGATCAACAGGATTCCATTTTTAAAACAGCAGCTTCGGCTGTGACTTTTGAGTATTCAGACAACACTTCCAGAAGCAAATTCATCATCTCGGTCGCGAACGGCGCTTTAGAGTTCAAAACTTCCTCCACTCTAGATCTGTATGCTTCGGTCTTCGAGTAGATCTCAATTCCGCTATCGTTTGGTGTCATAATTTCGTCAATATCATCTGTGCTTAGATCTAGGATCTCAGCTGCTTTCGATCTAGCTGCAAGCATACCTTGTGAGTACTTGCTTTTGTGATGCTCTAATTTCTTAGTGGACAAATCGCGTGACTGTTTAGACATCTTGGAAACCAGTTCATTCGCAAATGACCTGAACAACGTTATGAATTCTTTCACGATCACACCCGCATCTTTCAACTGACTTTGCAGCCGTTCAATGGCCACTTCGCTTTGCATTGCCAGCCCTTCAAGCTGAGAGGTCGCTACATTTTCCATTTCAGTCGCAAAGTTCTCATACTCGTGTTTCTTACTTTCCAACGTCTTAATATGCTTTTCCAGCTTTTCTATCTTTTGAATGGCTTCTACATTAATACTCTTGTAATGGCCAAGCTGACTTCTCAAATTTTCAATTGTTCGCTTAGCCGATTCCGCAGTTTCTTTCAGTGCATGAGACTTAGCATCGTATTCATTCTGTTCTTTCAAATCATTCTTGGCGTTTTCTTCGAAGGTTTTGATCTTGAACCTCAAGTTTTCGATCAAAGAACGTTTTTGTGTTACATCTCGTTCCAGTCTAGTAATTTTCTCCTGCAAACTTTTAGAATCATTCTGTTTCTGCTCCTTTTCGTCTGTGATAGATTTAACTTCTTGCTTCAGACGATTGGTCTCATTTTGCGCGTTCCGCAATCGACTTTCCAAACTTCTAATTTCTGAATCCTGTTTTCCAGAATTATCAGTTCCACTTTTTGCTTCTAACTCTGATTTTACTTTTTCGAGTTTTTCCACCTCCACTGATAACTTCTGCTCTTTCATTTTGGCGCATCGCAATTTAGAGCTCATGTTTTGCTGTTCATTTTGCAGCCGGTCCACTTGACTATAAAGACCATCAATTGTGCTCTGTAATGAAACTTTAGCCGACCTTAAGGCTGCGTTTTGTTCAGTTAGAGTCTCGCATTTCTCACTGAGCAAAGAAACGTCAGATTTCAGATTTTTAATAGTTTGCTTCGATTTATAACTAGACCCTGAGTTAGTGCTAGAGTTTGAACCTTTCTGCTTCTTCACTTTCTGGTCAAATCCTGGTTTGAAACTACCTTGAAGCTGCATACTTCCTTTGCCTTTCGACACAAGAGGGGCTCCAAAATTATAAGACTCTTGGGTTCTTTCGTCGATTGTTGTATCTCGAGGCGTGCTTGGGTTTGACATCATTCCCACTAAATGTGCCAACGTCGAAGCATTCGAAAGATCTATGTCAGTTTGGGTCGATGAGGTTCTATTTAACACTCGCTTAGAAGCTCTTTCGATCTTTTTGTTCGCCTGGGCTACTTCCTTTATACGGTTGCCCAAACTTAGCGATGAGTTTACAGTCTGGTAGGTATCCGTATCTTCATCTTCGCTTCCCAAAATCTCTTCATATTCATCTTCATCTTCAGCAGTCAATGACGCGTTCTCGTCTATATTACGTAACAAAGACAAATTATTTCGGGGTTTATTTTTTGCTACTTTAGGCTTGTTAGCTGCTAGTCCTTTCACAGAAACCTTCGGTTTGGATTTTTTACCGGCTCGCTTCGATCTTTCAAAACTTTCAACACTTTGCTTAAGAGACTCTGAAAGCTCAGTAAGCCTGTTGCATTCCTTCGCTAGCGCGTCTTTCCCCTGATTGGATATAATCAATTCCTCTTTTAGATCTAGAATCTTCGATTCTAGCTTGCGACACTCGGACATCCATTGTCGAATTTCACCATCTACACTTTTACCTTCAACTTCATTTGCCAGATTTTGCTGCAGGTCCTGCATCAAAGCCGAATCTCGTACACGCTCTACTCTAAGCCTATCCACTATTTCCTGAAGTTCTATCTTTTGATTTGCCAGATCCCTGTTTTCTTGTTTCATCTTCTCGAACTGTTTCGCCATTTTTTCCTTTGAATTTCCCTTCGAAATGTCGTTCAAACTTCTGACGACAGGTGACTCGCCGTCCTTTTCGTATGTTTTAACTTGTTCACGCAGCAAAATCATCTCCTGTTGTAAGCTCTTGAACCTAGCCAACCTTCGTTCGTGAGCTTTGCGCACTTCTAGAAGCTCCTGGTCTGCCGATTTTAATTTAGAAGTCAGAGCCGAAACCTTCTTTTCGGACACCGAAAGCTTCCGTGCAAGATCCAATGCGTTTCTATTAGTAGCTAACGGCGAAAATGAGCGCGCACGAGAGGTAGCAGTCGCCCTCGTATAAGAGCCGCTTCGTTTCTGGTCTACACTTCGGTTTCTGTGCATAGTGTCTCGGACTTCGAAAGATTCTATCATTCTATTTCTCTCGTTTAGCTTCGACTGCAGAAGTTGGATCTCATTTTCGTATGAAGTAACTTTAGCGGAACAGTCGGTACACACGTCACAAAGTTCATTTCCGATTATAACTTTTTTCGGCCGCAGTTCTTTTATTTGCGACTGAAGAGTAGAGATCTCTCTTTTCAGGCCCAAGTTTTCTGATTTCAGGTCGCTTTTCATTTGCTCGTACTCATACTTGATCTTCTGCTCTTCGCTAATAGCGTCTTTCAATTTTGCCGACGTTTCATAGTACATGGCCTGATAGTTTTTCTTCTCGGCATTATAGACATCTTCCTGGTTCTTCATTACACCTTCTGTGTCTTTCTGTAAATTCTGCAGTTGCCTTATCAACTCGCATTGTCTTCTATTATCAATCGCCATTTTGTCGTAATCTTTCTGCAAACCATTCAAATTGTCCTTTAACATCCGGTTTTCATCCACGAAACGACTTAGCGCCTGGTTTGCAGTCATTGATTCGTTGCTTTGTGACTTGAGGCGCATGTCTAAATTCATTCGATCTTCCTTCATTCGGTGATGTTCTGTCGTAAGTTTGTCTAATTGAAAAGTCTTCTTGGACAAATCCTCTTCTAATTCGCCCATTTTGCGGGTTAGAAATCCGTTGCGACTACTCAGTTCTGAGTTCGTAGAGCGAAGGGTGTCCACTTCAGTTATAAGGGCATCGCAGCGCGCTCTGAATCCCACTGACTGCTGCTGGAGCTCTTGAATTGCCTGGAACATAATTGAACAAAAAAATTTCTAGGGTGAAATTGAGCAATAATATGAAACTTGCATTTTTGCAGAGATAGAACTAATGCGAAATTCAATAGTTTATACGAAAGAAAAAATAATAATTTTAAAAACATCACCAACAGAAAGTTGTAAAGAGTCCATGGATGCAAGTAAACAGAAAAAAAAACACTCGAATTGTGTTTTTGAAAAATCTCAACTTCGAATTTTATAGAAAAAATTAGATGCTCTTAAAACATTTTGAAATTTTAGAACAATTTATGAATGAACTGAACTGTTAACAATGAAGAATCATCGGGACCTATTAAAAAATCTGAAAATTCATTAAATCGCGAAAACATCGTGAAGAAAAAACAATCCAAATCAATCAAGTACATCATCAGAATTCGGCGAACATTCCTGCCTACTGAAAAAAAAATCACTGTATTAAACTAAATATTCGCAAAAGTAGAGGGGATTTATGAAAAACACGTTTTGAAAACACCCTGTACGTTCATCGACTTTTATTTTCGAAGCCGTCCAGCTTAAGTACAATTCCATCAAAGACTTGGTAATCAATCCTATTAATAGGTAACTTCAGTGTATCCCTCATCCTTTCTTTGCATAGCGGATCTAGGTAATTATAGGTAAGAAAAGGGTAGTCACTTTTACGCGGAAAAAAGATACCTATGTTTTAACACGGAAATCGATAAAAAAAACGTTTTATTATCGACAAATAGAAACCACTTTTACTCATTTAACGGTGAAAACAAAAAACAAACTCATTATTCATGTAACACATAGCCACAGACAGTTGGCAAAGTTTCAATTTCAGGAAAAAAAGATGGCCTTAAAGCTTTTAAAGCTGACACTTTTTTGATAAAATTAACCCAATTTGAGAAAACTGGATTAATAGGTAAAGTTTATAATTCGCTGGGAAATTCGATAATTAAATTCCACTTTCAAAACTAGAAGTCGACCATGTTTTAAGGAATCTTTCCACTTTCGCTGTTCGATAATGGAGTTTATTTTCCTTTTAACAAAGGAAATAAACTGAACTTAAAATCAAATCGAAAGTCAAACCGCGAAAAAAAAAACTGAACATGAAAAAAATTAAGACTTTAGCTGAAAAAAAATCGCGACTAAGTACATCGTCTCTTCAAAACGACATAAAAAGAGACTTTGAGAGACCTTAAATAAACCAATTAGAAACTACTCTTCTTTCAAGAGACCAAGTGGTCACCCTGGGTTGAAAACAGCATCATAAAGCATAGGCTTTTCAAGTTTAAAGTGAGGACAAAAGAAGTAACGAATTGTTGAACTGGTTGCATTAATTCACCGACCTGTTGCGTGTTCTGTTGTTTGAGATTGGCAGAGTGCTCTCTGTCACTCACTAGCAACTCAATCTCCCTCACTCTCTCCGTGATCACGTGGTTGTCATTCTCCAGATGCAGTTTGAACTCATTCAATCTCTCACACTCGCCACTTTTCGTCTCCAGCTCTGCCTGTAGCTTCCCAACTTCTGATTCCAGATCTCGGATTAGATTGTCCTTGGCGTCCAGCACTGCAAGAACCTGTACCATAATAAAAAAGGTCATATACGACAAGACATTCTTCAGTAACATAATAATGCGGAGAAAAAAAAACGTGGGCCAACTAAATCAATGGCCTTTGGCAGAAAAAGAACAACTTTTAGCTGCGCAAGAAGCACAGAAAGTTCCGAAGACATTCGTCTTTGCACTAAAAAGGGATTCAGTAAATGTATCCAAAATCTTAGCATCCAAAAACATGGAAGGCCGAGTGGAAGGCAGTCTCAAAATTGCTAAGATTCACTAACAAAGTAGCTTCATTGTAGCCTAATTCATTGTAGCCTAACAAAGTAGCTTAGCCTAATTGTTGTGATAAACTTATTAAATAGTTTCAGAGACAGAGATGTCTAACGCAAATCAACCAATTGGAAATGATGAACAGCTTGAGGTATCCGAGGAAGCAAATCTACCGAACCTGAGATACCAAGATCAGACTCCGATACCAAAATCATTATCAAACCCGAAGAGACCAAATGAAGTTATGAGTCCATTAAACGAGCAAGAAAGTAAGAAGCAGAGTATTGACATAGAAGAAGCTGTCGAAAATGCCATCAACACAGCACTCCCAAAAATTCTGGAAAAACTAAAACTTGATTTGAAGAACGAATTGCAGACAGTCATAGGAAATGCAATAAGAGCCGAATGCGCAAACCTTAAGAAAGAAAATTGCGAAGAGCTTAACGACGAAATGAAAAACAGCGAACTCAGAAGTACCTTAAGGACCCTGTGCGAGACTGAACAGCAGGAAACATACAACAGACGTGACAATATTCGAGTACTGGGAATAAACGAAACTAGTAGAGAGCAGCCTGAAGAGACAATCAAGAAGATTATATCCATCTCTAAGGAGATTAATGCAAAGGTAGAGGAAGGCGATATTTCAATTGCTCATCGATTACCAGCCAAAAATGTAGCAGCCCGCCCTATCATTGTGAAGTTCTCCAGGCGCATAGCCAAAGTGGAAATTATGAGGAAAAAAAAACCTTGCGAGACAAGCCCACCACTGAAAATGTTAAAGTATTTGAAGACATCACCAGAGCACGAGTGAAGTTTCTGAAGCTTATGAAAACTGACAAGCGCATCGCATCAACATGGACCAGAGAGGGCATGATTTTATACACTCTCCAAAATAATGATCAAGTGTATAGATATCAAAATATTTTCCATGCTGCATCAGATCTTGGTTACAGTTACAATGACACCATGAATTGTTTTCGTGACTGATAATATGAATCCCTCAATTGTGCTTAATAATGAATTATCCCAAATTACCTGTTATAATAATCAATCTGGTCATAAAGCGGATTTCTTTAATTTTTCTGTGCTACACCTAAATATCATGTCTTTAAAACCACACTATGAAAAATTGGAAGCACTTATTTTAAGTCTTGAGTCGCCACCTGATATAATTTGTTTAAGCGAAACATGGCTAAATGAAACAGATGAAGGTAAAATTTACCTGATAAATGGTTATAACCAATGCCTTATGCAAAATCGAAATGGCATGAGAGGAGGAGGAGTGATGGTTCAGGTACATAAAAACTGTAATTTACTGAAACAACGAGATGTCACATTTGAAGAGGCTTTATTCGCGGAGGTCGAAAAAAACAATTACAAATTAAAAATAGCCGTCATCTACAATCCACCAAGAATAAACAAGTTACTCTTTACTGACAAACTTGAACAGTTTCTTGAAGATAATAGCACACATTCTGACCCTTTCATTGTATGTGGCGATTTCAATATAAATACACTGCAAGAAAATCAACTCACCATTAATTACCTGAACGCTATAAACTCGAATGGGTTTGAGTATTTTGCATCAGAACCTACTCGTGTATCATTAACAACATCAACTTGTTTAGATCACTTCATCTATCAAAATATTGCAAATCCCAATTCCACGGTGTTAGAACAAGAAACTATATCAGACCACTATCCAATCCTCTTAGATTGGTCAATAAAGCAATGTAAAAAAGATATATCGATAACATTCCGTGATACATCTTTTCTGAGGAAGGCTTCAAAATGTAGAGAATTTGAAAATGAATTACAGCGTGTGTTAAGTGAACAGGAAGAAATTCTCATGGGTACCGAAGATCCCAGTGAGTCTTTTAATTTATTCAAATGTATCTTTGAAAATGTCCTAGACAAATTCGCTCCGCTAAAGGCAATTTCACCAAGAAGCAAAACTCAGCCACCATGGTTCAACAATGATCTTAAAAATCTGCGAAATAAGCGCAATGCAGCCCATCGAAGATGGAAAAATAATCCTGAAAATCCAGAAACCCTAGTGAATTTTAAAAAACAAAGACAAAAGTTTGAAAACGCCGTTAAATGCAAGAAAAGAACACATTACATGAATAAATTTAGACATTGCATTGGAGACTCAAGACAAACATATAAGTTACTCAATGAATTAAATTGTAAGAACTTAGCCCAATCAAATATTCCTGTTCTAGATTCATGCCTTCAAGTCCAAGAAAATCCATCTAATAAAGATATTGCTGACAAATTCAATGATTTCTTCACTAACATTGGAGAGAATTTGAAAAAAGAGTTGCCTAAAATAGATCCACCATGCTTACCCAAATTAAATCACTCCATGTTTCTTTTTAAGGTAACAGAACCAGAAATACACCAAATCATCTCTCAATTGGACGATAAATCGACATCTGGGGATGATTACGTCAGTAACTTAATTGTCAAATCTTCTAAAAATGCTGTTGCTCCTTTATTAACAATACTTATTAATGCGTCTTTTTCTAAAGGTGTTTTCCCTTCCGAACTTCGTAAAGCCAAAATTGTTCCAATCCACAAAGAAAAATCGCGGCGAGATGAAAACAACTATCGGCCAATTTCTTTACTAATAGTTTGGAGCAAAATCTATGAACGCGCAATGCACAACAGATTATATTCTTACTTTGAAAATTTATCCCTTTTATACAACAAACAATTCGGCTTTAGAACCAAACATAGTACAATAGATGCAGTAGCTGAATTGACAGAAAATCTAAGAATGAGAAGTCATACAAATGAAATTTATAGTTTTTTCTTGGATCTTAGGAAAGCCTTTGATACTCTCGATCATCAAATACTACTAAATAAACTGGAATCTTATGGTATAAGAGGAAATTGTAACCGGTGGTTTCAGACCTACTTATTTGAACGGACTCAACGAGTTTTAGTAAATGGACAATTCTCTGATTGGAAGAAAATAACATGCGGTGTTCCTCAAGGCTCGATACTGGGACCTTTGCTTTTCCTAATTTACGTAAATGACCTTCCATCAGCATGCAAATCAGTTGAAGTAACACTGTTTGCAGATGACACCAACCTGACGGCAATTGGTTGCCAAATAACTCAAATTAGAGAAGATATTGGCAAGCTGGATCGTTGGCTTATCGCCAACAAGTTAATAGTTAATAGTGATAAAACAAATCAAATGAATATAAAAAGTGCTTCCAATTATCGCTTCAAGCTTAATTCTTCTAACATTATACTAAAACCCGTATGCAAATATCTAGGAATTTATATAGATTGTAAGTTATCTTATCAAACTCATATTAATAATGTTAAAATGAGACTCGGTAAACAATGTGGTATTATATCAAAACTGAGGCATTACGTGCCGCTTTCACAATTACTAGAATACTACAGAAGTAATGTTGTTCCTATAATACAATACGGAATTCTGATTTACGGTTGCTGCAGTCGAAGTTCACTGGAGTGTTTATTTCTTTTACAAAAGAAAATAATTAAATTTATGTTCTTTCGAAAGAAAATGTACTCCTGTAATGACATTTTTCTTAAATACAATTTTCTATCGGTTTTCGAATTGCATGTATACGAATTGCTCAAATTTGTTCTGCGCTCAATTAATTCCTTTCATTCAGAGAGTTTCCTTAACAATTTGTTTGTTTTTAATAATCGGCAGAGACAAACAAGAAACTCAAAATACAATTTACTATTAGAACCTCTTTGCAAGAAAAGATTTGAACGTTTTTCTATCCGATATCGTGCTTGCAAGCTTTTTAACTTATTGAGACTGCAAAATATAATTCCTGAAAATATTGAAAGTTTTTCTGAGACAAAAGTAAAAGTGTTTTACCATAATTTCAAAAATACATTTTTGTTGCAAAACGACGAACTAACAAAACTTATCTACGATTTGTAGTACTTTTTCCTTTTTCCTTTTTTCTTTAAAATGATTATCGTTGGTTAAATGCTACCAGGCAACTGCTCTAGCTTCCGATTCTCGTGCTAAAATATGAAGCTCTAAATCCTTGTAGTTTAGGAGATATGGCCATTTTTACGATTTTTCGAAAAATATTAAACACTTAGTAAAAAAAAAGAAAAGAAAGAAAAGAAAAAAAAAAAGAAAAAAATTATTTTTCTTAAAAATTATTTTAAAACTCACCTGCGACCGTGAACCTGGTTGTCTTAAGTTAAAGTTGATGGGCTCTTTCAGTAACGCCAACAAAAAATCTTAACTTACGGAAGTAAACCTACTTCAAAACTTTTTTTTTTTTTTTTTTTTTCAAATTTCGTTTTTTTTTTTTTTTTTTTTTTTTTTTTTTCATTAAATATTAGTGTTAAATCTTTATGTTTGAACAACTTAAGGGTAGACCCTGGAGGACCTTTAGGTCCCGTTGTCTATCCTCTCTAAGTCGCATCATTTAACTTAAATTATAAATATATTCAATGTTGTATTTAATGCTGACTAGAGAAATAAATTCTTTCTTTCTTTCAATTTTAATGTCAGAGGCAAGAAAAGTTGTCTACGGGAAAAAAGTCAAGTTCCCGATTACAAGACACTTGTAAATAAATCATTAGTCAAACCGCGAAAAATCAAATTTGAGAGTGAACAAGCTGAAAAAAAATTAGCAACAAATACTCACGACCTATGCAAGAGCTTTTACTACGATAATGACTTGTGTCGAACGCAACATTCCTCACCACAAAAATCTTTTAAAAAACCTGTACATTTTTTTTTTGAAATTCAATATCTAGTAAGATTCTACCCGAAAGTCCTCATAAAAAAAAGACTAATGAAAATAAAGACTGAAACTTGTCAAGACATAATCAACCTTTTCCGACACTGACCTTGTTGTCTCTGTCCTCATGCTTCTGTTGTTCATGTCTCTGTACATCAGCAACTGCTGCAGATACATCTGGATTTGCAGTCTGCAGACGCTTCCACAGCCCCCACACGAACTCCTTGTCTTTCTCACACTGGGACAGCTGGTCCTTCAGACGACTGTTCTCACTCCACAAACGGGACACTTCAGTCCCACTATCACTAAGCATCTAAACTATTCTGAAAACAGGTCCTAGATGTCAATTTGCCTCACCGGACTAGGCTGATCAGCTGACCTCGACATCTTTTTATTTAGATTTTTTTTTTTCAGATCAAGTATGAATATCTGAATTGATAAGCAAAAAAAATTAAATTAAATGGAACTGAACGCAATAAGGATTTGCTGCTGATTTAGACTTGTTTTTAATCTGATCGAACAAAAACTTCTGGTATCACCCAGGGCCGATTCTCAGGATTACAGATTCTAGTTTGGAAATCATGCTAGAAAACAGAGACCTTGAAAATAATTCATGTTGTCCTTGGCGTCAAAAATAGGGGCAGAAGAAAAATTACCTCACTTTATCCGCCAAAGCTCTTCATACCTGGTAATGGAACTTTGGAGCAAAATTATGCAACAACTGGCACATGCGATTTGCTTGTTTTTCAGAAAGGAAATGGGTTCTGGTAATTTGACGAAAACCATAATTTTTGACCAAAACTTTCAAAAACAATTAATTAATCTCAGAGAAATTCATCTACCGTGCATTGCGAAAATTTTGACAAAATGGGATCCTCTTACTGTTCTCAGGGAGCTCATACAATTGGCCTGACCTAAAAAAGGAGATGACGACAAATCATGGGCGGATTTAGTGGGGGGCGAACGCCCCCTTCAGTGATTTGAACCCCTGACTACCCAAAGCTTCTTCCCTTTGGTACTGTCAGCTCGGAAAATCAGCAATTAATTTTTGCATTTAAATTTAATACAGCATTTAAATTCTCTGAAACTAATTCTGAGAACTAATGCCAAAAAACTTCTGAGCCGGAAGCTTTTTGAAAAACACATTTTGAAAAAAAAACAAGCATATAACAGAACTTTTGAATTTTGCAACAAAATGATTAGTTTTGATAAAACCTGCTCAAGATATCTCAGGTATCCATGGAAGAATCATCTGTACTATTTTTTTCACTCGTTTCGTCTACTTTTTGACTCTTCTCAACTGGTGGTTTGTTTTCATCGTCCGAGTTACTTCCTTCAGTCGCACTTGTCTCTCTCACGTTGAAATTTGCTGGAACATCTGACCTTCCGATTGCATGTCCGCTCATTTCCACTCCTCTTTCGACAAACTGCTGTTGTTGATTTTGCGTTTCCAATACTTTTCTTTTACGAGTATCATTTTGCGGAGCAGATGCATTTAATCTAGAACATTCCTCTTCTAGTAACGTGATTTCATTGCTCAGTCTTAAACAAGCGGCCTCTATGTCGAAATTTTTATGCACCAAATGATTCCATTCGTCTTTCGATGATAATAGTTTTGTGCTGACTGACATTTGATCCGACTTTCTCTGCCAATTAGTTTCTTGTATTTCTCGCTTCAAAGCAGCCATTTGTTTTTGTGCCTGGTCTACCATTTTAGATAGGAGTTCATTATGCGTCTTCCACGCATTTGCGCCATATTTTTCAAGCAGCTCCAAGTTCTCAATTCTGCTTCCCATGTGCTCTAACTGAGCCAAACTGTTTTCAACACATTCGTTCCACGCAGCAATGTCGTTTTTTTGACCCGCTCCGGGGGCAGGTAGCTCGTACCGCTTCATCGATAGCATTTCCATAGGTTGTCTTGCGGCTATTCGTTCAAATTCGACTCGCATTGTGTCTGTTTCGAATAGATTCAAGTCCAAGGGAAGGTAGTCGAGATAATTTTTCGTGGGCCTGAAACAATTCTGAGCGTTTTAATACTTAAGTACAATCAGATAACATAAATTAATAATATAATGATCCGAATAAAAATATAATTGAAATAAAAGTATAAATGGATTCCCCGTTGGTTTTTTTTTGTACATCCATTATTAGCTGACCGACCCTAGTATTTTCCCAAAGTTGCCCTCAGCTCCAATATATACTACTTTTGCTGAAAGCGCGCGTCAAAAAAAGCTTCCATTTACTTTTTGTTAAAAACGATCTAAAAATGCCTTAAAAACATCGTTTTTGGTGTGCTTTTTCAAAAACTTGCTTATAGTGCAAAATCAGATATCAGCGCCTATACTAGAGACTAGATTTATACAATAAATTGTTCTATGGAATACTGCAAGCTTGATTGATATTCGGGGCAGTTCACGTGCAACAAAACCATTTTCTTTCTGAGCTGGAATATTCAGACATAACAATATAATCCAACAGTATAACAATCTAAAAATCTCTTTCAGGTTGCTGCAACTGTGTTAGGATATGGGTACGAGTAAATTTTATACGAATATCGGATTATCCGATTTTTCCAATGTGTTAAGATTAGGACCTTCGATATCGTAAAAAAAATAGCGCAATCAAAACGGATGAAAAACTTTTAATATTACGAAAAAACGTTGCTGTTCAAGCAACACAGAAAGTTCCCATCGCATTTATCTTTGCAAAAACAAAATTTAAAAATTAAACACAGGGTGAAATGGAGCTTCGCAACACTTGTTACACAAATTAAATTAGTGCATTAGAAGATATTGAACGAAAAAAAAAAGCAATTCTTTCGCAAACACTAGCAGGAACACGACAAAAAGCAGCTCTTTTGAGTTTATTAAGAAAAAGAAGAAATAAGCCTCGAAGTAGTAAAATTCGGCAAGGTCTCGGATTCGATCTTGCAACCGAGAGATTATGAGTCTCACGCACTAACCACTAAATTGCGCAAGCTTAATACATCAAAATACTAGCCACAAATCAATTAGAGAACAGTTGCTATGAAATTTCCACAGCTATATCGTGATTATATCATAGTGCCACCAAACATTTTCCTCTTTTAATTAACACTTTTATTTAGATTAGAACAAAAAGAAGGTTCGTAGTAATAAACTACGCTGATCGCAAGTGTAAACAGTTCAAACCACGACTGAAAGGCGTTCAAAATGATATATCACTGGATTTTTTACGAAATGTGGTATTTAATTAAACAGAAGCCAAGCTGCACTTCACAAACATAAGCGCAAAACGTCAAAAAATCGCATAGGTGAAGAACGCCAAAAGGGTCCAAAGATAGAAAAAAAGAAAATAAAAAACTACTCATAATAGCTTAACACTTTAAAAATAAACGCCCTCCGCGGGAATTGAACATCAGCTCTCTTACATTCAAAATTTGCAGCTGACTGTCCTACACAATTGTGCCACTGACGCTAATCAGAATCAAAGACAAACAATTAACCGGCAAAAAGGAGCTTCAAAATCCACAAAAATACCAATTTTTGATGTAATAATTTGAAATGTAATTAACTGAAGTCAACCACACTAATTTTGTAATAAACTGTAAAAGTAAAATTGTAAATAAACTATGCATTTCGAATATTTTGTAAAATATAGCGAGTTGGGAAATTTACTGCTGTTTGTAACAAACAGCTTTCTTCAGATCATTTCACAGAGGCGAAGTTGCACAGGGGCGAAATTAACACAGAGGTGAAGTTGCAATTTGCATACACAAGCAAAATCAAGTAATTGCTAAATGACGCAAGCCAATTATGACGCATTAGCAGTACCAGTCAATTTGAAAAAAAAAGAGAAATTTACCAACTACCATGCCTCAATTTATAGAGCGGACGCATTTTAACTAGAGTACGAAACAGTTCATTAAAAACACCCGAACCGGCCCAGGTTCGAACCCTGTTATTTTGTTGTGGGTCTCCTACAGATCCATGATACATTGAAGTTATAGTGCTATTTGTAATATAATCAGTAGCTTGCCGAGGGAGGTGGGCGGGGAAGGACCGCCCCTTTTCAATTATGGTTGCCAAATTTTTCCAAAGGATCTCCCCTTTGGTATAATTTTACGACATCCATTTTCGGCCTCTTTACGATCATCCTCAAAAATTTTCTAAAAACGCCTTTGGCGCCAATATAACTAAATTTGAGGGGGAAGCGCGCCGAAAAAACGCGATGTTTTGGTCAACATTTTTCAAAAAGTGCCAAAAACGCCTTTTTTGCCTGTTTTTTTGAAAAATTTTCCAGCGGAGCAGATAATTTTTGACCAAATAGAGTCCTTATAGTATTTGGTCGATCTTAAATCAAATTGTTCGATCTAAAAAAAGTCATGAAAATTTTCAACTTTTTTTTCTTGAAAAACCGCCCCCTTTGAAAAATTTCTGCGCATGCCACTGAATATGATAGTCTGTGTTAATACCCTTAGCATTGGTTGTACTTAATAGCTCGTTATTGATCAAAATGAACACTTTCAAAATTAACACATTTTGTCGCAACATTTCCGCCGCAACAATATTTGCGACTTAGGTTGGAAAAAAAGATAGTTCATACCATAACACAAGCTTTGCGTGTGTAAAAATGCATAACAGTTATTTTATTAATAATCAGTATCAACGCACACGCTATTATATAGCCAATTCAGCCTTCTTCTGAAAAGTTCTACTAAAAGTAGCATTAATTATTGCGACAACTTATAATAGAAAATTCTTCATAAGCCTCGCAGTATCGCAATACGCTGCGCATGTGTAAAGAGAGAAAAACAACAAACTCGAATACCACTATTTTTCAACTTACAAACTCTCAGCAATAAAATCTCGAACAAAATGATTTCCACCAGTTTTACTTATGAGTTTGATTCACGCAAAACTAAGCAACCAACTTTTGAAAAGTTTTCTGTTTGCTACTAACCTGTATCGTCGACATTCTTCCTCGATCAAAGCCAGTGCTGCATCCCGTACACCAGGCTGTTCATACTCCTTGTCTATATATGGCAGGGCGTCAATCAAGTTGCGATCTGAATCCAACTGACCAATTATTGAATTGGCGGGCGCGGGGAGAGACAATTGGTGCGAATTGGATGTATTTGTTGCCATTCTGTCTGAAAACATAGACATCACAATCACTGAACCGGACGTTTTTTCCACGGAAACTTGTTTCTTTGAGTTGGTTGCAGTTCATAAATCACTAAACACTGTATATAAACAGAGGCGAAGCAGAGCTTCGCACCGCTAGCGAAACAAAAAGATATGATATGAGAAACAACCCTTAAAAAACTTAAAAACCGCAAAATATTTCCTATTTCTCAAAAACTGAATTGAACTTCAATTTGTAACTCTATTACCCGGTCCATCAGATGTACACTTATAGTAGAAATTGCATAAATCAGAAGAAAGTCCATGCTGTGGAAATTTAACCTACAAAATATAAGGAGACAAACGACAAAGCCTCGAAAAGTAACATAAATAAAAATAATGAAAACTTCATAGCCTCGAAAAGAAATAGACTCAAAAATTAAATAACTAATTTTCATATAAAACTTCTCGAATATACAAGAGTTTTCAACTACATCATCAAATTCAAACATGATCAATATTAGACAATTCAATCTGGCTACAATTAATTTTTTTTCGCATAATTCGACCACAAAGTTACAAGAAATGTTGAAAATGACTTTCAATCTCCTTTGCAGCAGTTGATTTTGGTTCGATGTTTCGGAGAGGAGGTCGCACCATGCCAGGTTTGTAACCGAGCAAGGACATGGCATATTTGAGTCCCGATGGTCCGTATTTCTTTGTCACCATCTCATTGGGCTTCTCGAGAGAAATTTGGATCTTTTCCGCATCGCCTAGTTCTCCAGATTCAAACTTCTGGACAAAAAAAGTGGGGAAAACTAACACGTTTAAGGTCTTTCAACAACGCAGATAATTCCTAAAATTTTCTGTTAAATTTTTAATTCCAAACATGTTTCTGTACATAAAATTCTCGCAAAAGAAAAGTCGGTTGCTGGGCAAGCCGCGTAAACTGTACCGACCACAGAAATCACAGCAAAAATTACAAAAAAAAACTTAAATACAAAAATCTTCGTTTTTGTATTCTTATAAATTCAAATATAATAAACGTGAAAAAACGCTGAAAATAACGTTTATGATGATAACAGCCTCTTGGAAGGGTTTGGCTGTCTAAAATACAAAAAAAACAGAGGCATATCGTGACACTAAAATCTTTCCTCAAATATCTGTTTGGAATCCGAATCACAATTCAAAAGGCTTTAAAAATATATCACGTTCGGTAATTTAAGAGCCTCGTTTGAGATACCAACAATCTCAAGTGGTTGCCAATAAACCCAAGTGGTACTCGTAATGACACTTAGCAAAACTAACTTCTAAAAGGGTTTTCATTTGTCGAGGTAGAGCCGAAGCAACCGCTGAAATGGATCCCACTGCCCCACACATCAAAGCAGGCAAGAATGAATTCCCGTAAGCACTAAGAATCGAAAAATTAGAGGCTTTTGTTTTCTCTGCAATTTTTTTAGTTCTTTCTTTTTCGAAAATGTCTTTGATTCCGATAATGTTGGGATGCTTTGAGAGTTCAATAACACAATCCGCGCTCAAATTGATATGTGAGTAAAATGGAACGTTGTAGATCAAAATAGGCTTGGGCGATTTGTCAGCAACTGTTAGATAGTGATCAATGTAGGCTGCATCATCCAAGAAAGGTAGAAAGTAGTGTGGGGTTATCACAAGGAAAGCGTCAGCTCCAACTTCAGCAAATTGATCACATCGTCTAAAATTAAAAGCCTGAAATTTAGATAACTCCATTCGATTTGTGACAACTTAAGCAACGAACTTTTCTTTAAAATTCTTTAATTTAAGAAGATAAATTAAGGAGAAAGGTTCTATGAGCTCATGTTTTGAATCTATTATTCGTGAAGTTTCAATTTTAGTTTTTACCCTTCAAATTTATGCTGCAAAAATCATAACCTTATTCAATAGTTTCAGAGACACAGAATGGATAATTCCCAAATCAACACAGCAGGGAACACTGAGGAACCAGAGACTTTTAGTATTCAAGAAGAAAACAACGCAATCCCTCAGCTCAGATATCAAGACCAAACACCTATTGCGAAATCAACTTCAAAAAGAAGCTGTGCCGTACTAAGTCCTCCTGACTGTGCATCCATATCCGAATCAAATGCCAACATCAATGAAATCATAGAGTCGAGTATCGAAAAAGTCTTTGAGAAGCAAATCCCTCGAATCATTGAGAAACTGGAAACTACATTAAGCGCAATTTTCAAGTCTTTAATAGGCCAGGGTCTGCAAGATGTCAAAGAAACGGTTCTAAAGGAGGCAAAACAAACAATAGAGCAAGAGGTCAGAAAGTGCAGACTAAAAGCAGCTTCAGAAGACGAGCTTCTTGAGGGATACAACAGAAGAGATAATGCGAGGATCATTGGAATTCAGGAAGAACGAGGCACAAATGAAAACGGGAGGAGAATATTCGAAGACTATTTCCAAAGCATTGACAAAGTATTGAACGTCGCCAAAGAAGCTGGCGCTGAGATTGAGAAGAGCGATATTTCTATTGCTCACAGATTACCTCGAAGAAATGCAAACTCCCGGCCAATGATAGTGCGCTTCTCCAGACGGATTGCCAAGGTGGAACTGCTGCGCAAGAAGAAAAACCTGAACCAGTCGCAGACTATGCACTCCGTGAAAGTATTCGAAGATCTAACGGCACCGCGATTGAAGTTTTTCAATTTAATGAAACAAGACTCAAGGATTGAATCAGCCTGGACACGAGAGGGGAACATCTACTACAAGTTTAAAGAAAACCAAAACATTCAGTGTATCCGAGGACTTTTTGAAGGAACGCAACAGCTTCAATACAAAATAGAAAAGCTTGAGAGTTGTTTTGTAAAACAAAAGCAACCAGAATCAAAACCAGTAATATCTACTTCATTCTCTAAAATTGCTAAAATTTTTCATATGAATGTGAGATCCCTTAATAAACATCATGATGAGTTGGAAGCACTAATAAATAGCCTTGAGTCACCACCGGACGTAGTATGCATTAGTGACACTTGGTTACAGGAAGATAATAGTGTCAACTGCTTCAAACTTAGTGGTTATAATACTATAATTAATAAATCGAGGAAAGGTATAGGAGGCGGGGTAATGATGCAATTGAAAGATAATGTAACTATTATAGAAGAATTTAACTCAGAACTGGCGGAAAGTATTTCAGTTTTAGTTAAATTAAACAATGAAATTTTCCAAATAATGCTTGTCTACAATCCCCCCAATGATAATAAGTTTTCTTTTGTAGACGAATTCGATAAGCACCTAGAAGCTATAAGCAACAAAAATTATCGCGCGGTAATATGTGGTGATTTTAATATAAACATCCATAAGTCGAACAATCTATCTTCTAAATACATTGATGCTGTCGAAAATAATGGTTTCAATCAACTGACAAAGCAACCAACCAGAGTTGGATACAATAGTGAAACTCTTCTAGATCACATGATAGTTAAAGATGTTAATGTAAAAGCAGCCTATGCTCTTGAAAATCAATCATTTTCTGACCACTTTCCGATTATTTTAGAATTAAACACCCAAACATCAAAGAAAATTTGTCCAAAAATTTATCGTGATACAACTTTCTTAAAATCTAAACTACAGATAGAAAAGCTTAATCAAACACTTATGAACAAATTACACTATAATGACGCTTTAGACCCATCAAAAGGCATTGATGATTTATTTGCGGAATTTCAGTCAACGTTTAGCAGTGTATTAGACAAATACGCACCACTGAAAACCACAAAGACACAAGAGCGGAAATCTAGATCTTTTTCGCTGTTGTATCGTATTAAAAACCTAATCGCAAAACGAAACAGGCTTCATAGAACATGGTGTAACAATAAATCTGAAGTTGGTGCCAGGTTGCGTTTTCAAATTGTCCGGAAGAAATGTGAAATTGAGAGTAAGAAATATAAAAAGCATTATTACTATGATAAGTTTAGTAAGTGTATTGGTGACTCAAGGCAGATATATAAAATTTTAAATAATTTAAGGGGAATTACAAATACATCAAAAAAATGTTTCGATCAATTCCAATAGCGGAAATTGTATCACCGATGAATCGGCAATTGCAAATGAATTTAATGCTCATTTCTCTTCGATTGGCATAAATCTCGCGAAAAACATACCAAACCAGGGAATCACACAATCGTTTGATACACCTAATTTTTGCATGTTCAATTTCCCTGTTACGGAAAGTGAAGTTCACATTATCATTTCTAACCTTTAAAATAAAGCTTCATCTGGCGTGGATGGAATCAGTAATCTTGTTTTGAAAGCAAGCCCATTTGCGACTGTACCCATATTAAGGCAACTCATTGAAGTTTCTTTTAAATCTGGCCATTTTCCTATCTGTCTAGCTAGGGCTGTTGTCTATCCATTATATAAGGAAGGTTCTAAACTTGATGTCACAAATTACAGACCAACATCCCTTCTTGTCACCTGGAGCAAGGTTTTTGAGCGAGTAATGTACAACAGAGTATACAGTTACTTGGAAACGAATTCGTTAATATACATTAAACAATTTGGTTTTCGCAAAAATCACAGCACAGTCGATGCAATTGCGGAAGTAACCGAAAAACTTCGTTTAGATATGAGCAGGTCGCAAAAATATACTGCTTTTCTTGATTTAAAAAAAGCTTTTGATACACTGGATCATCAGATACTATTTCAAAAGTTGCAAATGGGGATAGATGGAAAAGATTTAAGTTGGTTCATAAGCTATCTGAAACATCGAAAACAAGTAGTAGAAATAGGTACAACAAAGTCAACGTGGATGGACTTAAAGTGCGGCGTCTCTCAAGGGTCAATACTAGGACCTCTTTTGTTTCTGATATACATTAATGACCTTCCCCAAGTCTGCCAATATAGTGAAGTTTTCCTGTTTGCCGATGATACTAACATAACTGCTTTAAATTGCTCTGTTAAAAATTTCAACAAAGACTTAGAAGCTGTAGGCAAGTGGTTAACATTAAAAAAATTATCCCTGAATATAGATAAAACTGTTCAAGTCTACGCCTCTTTAAATAGTGCTTCCAACCAAAACATGTATATAAATAAATTACCTTTAAAAATGCTTCATCTTGCAAATACCTTGGAATTATTTTGGATGCTAAATTATCTTTCAATACTCATATTGATTTAGTTCGAACTAAGCTTAGAAAACAATGTGGAATTATTTCAAAAATGCGTCATTATGTTCCCAGAGGTACCATACTAAAATACTATGCCTCTAATATTAAACCAATTTTACAATACGGCATTTTAGTGTACGGTTGTACCAGCTATACAAATCTTTTGCCCCTTTTGATGATACAAAAAAAAAATTATTCGCCTAATTTACTTCAAAAGAAATTTTGAAACAATACGGGATGTATTTTTTACCAAGGAATCTTAACAATCCACGAATTACATGTGTATGAACTTCTAAAATTTGTTTTGAGATCTGTCTCCGGAGTTCATTCTGAAGAATTTCTAAATGAACTTTTTAAATTTGAAATACCAACGTATAGGACTAGGAGGGCTAATTCAGAGTTGATAAAAATTCCTAATTTAAAAACCAAAATGCAGAGAATGTCGAAAAGTTACAGGGGAACGAAGCTTTACAATTTACTTAAACAGAACTTTTTAATGCCCAATGAATTCACTAATTTTTCACAGGCAAATATTCAAAGCGTGGCTCACCGAATTAGAGATCTGTTCATTCTAAGCAACGAAGAACTCATCAAATTTATCTTTTGCCAGAATTAAATTGAATTTTTCCTAAAAGATATATATATTTTTTTGCATATGATGGATAGATAGAAAATAGATTTAATAATAGGAACTATTAAAATACCATGGCTGCTCCACGGACCCGAGATTTTTTTTTGACGTAATCCCCGGAAAACCTAGTACGAATGACTCTTTGTGAGTTTAGATTACTGAATAAAAGTCTCGGAAAAGTGGCGCATCCATTAAGAATTAAAAAAAAAAAAACAAAAAAAAACAATTTTTTTTTCCAAAATGGGCCGAAATGGCCCGCTTGAGGGGGAACCTATGCCCAATTTTTTCGTTTTTCCTAAAAATCACTTAGAAATTTCATATTCATGCCCAAGGCTTAAAATTAAAGGAAAAAACTTGTATTTTTTTAGGTAAATATTATAATCAGTTCATTAACATTTGCAACTGTTTTTAAATAAACTAAGTTAGGTTGTGTGTTACTTAAAACGGAGATAAATCATGCCATTTCTGAGTAGGCCTTTAGACCCTCTAATGTATGATTTTATATTTCACCTTTTTTTGTTCGTTCTATTTTTGCAAATATGTAGAATTTATGCACTAGATTTCATAATAATTTGAAACCCAACTAACTACATCATTCATGTTTCTAATATTTTTTGGGGCAGCATTTAGTATCCCTTATGGGATCGTTAGCTGTCCCCTCTTTGATACTGATGTATTTATGCGCAATATGATATGAATTTTCTAGTAACATTGAGAAATTAATTCTTTCTTTCTTTCTTTACCTTGTCCAAAATTATACTTGGCGTACTAACCGATGTGTAGCTTCAGTTGACTCACATCCGGATCCTGCAATTAGAGGAACATTCTGTGCATGGGCTTGTTTAGCAGCGAACTTCACATATTCGACAGCCTCCTTCTCTTTTAGAGACACGTACTCCCCGGCACTTCCCAAAGTAACATATCCATTCACTTTCTCATTTTTCCATTTCGAAAAATTTTCCTCTAAACTGCAGAGTTTTATCAAAGAGATCACCACAGTTTGGTAATGAGATTAGTTAAGAAACCTTTTTGCAATTATAACCTGCTGATTTATAGCAGATCTCATATTTACTTCCTTTGAAAGGTGTTACAATTGGCGGAAAAACTCCTTTCAAATGTATTCTCCGCATAACTTGCCAACTAGCTGTTTTCATAGCGCCTGAATTAGTTATATATTTTCATACTTCTCTAAAACTCTACCTCCATCGTATTTCGACTCAACTACCAGTTTAAGTAACCGGTGTCAATCACTACAAGTTAAATTAGAAGCAAAAAGACTAATATTTAATCAATACCTTGCTAGCCGATTTGAATAGAAGTATACAACCCAAACTCTGTATTTAGTTTGACAAGAAGATTTGAGCTTTTACATATAATATAGTACAGGCAAAGTTACACTTCGCATACACAAGCAAAATTAATAAGAAACTGGAATACTTGAACAAGAAAAGCCGATTACGGTGCAAGTAGCAAAGATGTTCCGACCATAGTCTTAAAAAAATTCTAGTTTTTTCTCAAATAAAATTAGCTCTTTTTGCGCGGTGTGATAAAATGATCTGAATGTAAAACTAGTGCTTAGACATATTCGACAGTCATAGTAAAATAAGCAAATTAGACAAAGAAAATGAAAAAATGACTGAAAGGGCAATAATATAATATATCACTCAACCCAGTCCGATAATTTCTTTTGGTACCTGATTTTGCGTGGAAAAAACTAAAACACACCTGAATACAATGTTCCTCCCCATTTCTCAAATGGTTGGAAAAAAAGCCCTTCAATAGAACTGAAGCTACCAGACGTTAACTGTTCCATATTAACCAAATAATTATGGCACAACAATTTTATAAACACAGAGACGAATCGGAGCTATGTACCATTTGCGATACAGCACAAAAATAAAAAAAACATAAGAAATAGAAAAAAAACATGAAAAACTTTGAAAACTACACAAGAACCAAAGTTTTTTTATGTCTCGATTAAAGGTAACCAGGTGTCCAGCTAAAGCTGGAGGTAGGTGTTTTGATAATTTTGTTACACTGACGTGTGATGAAATTGGTAATTTCAAAAAATGGATTTTGCCCAGAGATTGTTGTTTCTCTACTAAAATAAAAGGGTGAAAACTTATGAGAAATTGAAATCTTCCCAAAGACAACACTTTTACAAACAATTAGGTAAACGCCACTTCTACACAAAAAAAATCTCGCAACCGGTTTATTCGATTGAACCCGTTATTTCAGATGTATAAGAAAAGTCAAAAAACTTCAAAAAAAAAACGGTCTTAAGTTCAAAAACTTGACCTGCCAAAATCAATATTTTTTTGCAAAAGAAGGTCGTAGCCACGCTAGCAGAGAAGATTTCCAAAACCGAAACTCGCATTGACCACTTAATCTAAGAAATGGCAGGGTAGTTTTTGAGAAAAATTTCCAAAAAACGGTCAAAAAAATCAAAAAATTACTTTTCCGAGAAACACAGTTTTAATCGTGAAAATTTTTCGGGCGTAGCAGCTTATACAGACATCCGCCTTCCCCTACGGTTGATCCCGCATTGAGTAGGACCGCGGGCAATAAGAAAAGATATTCACACAACCTGTTATTTCGATTGGACTCAAAAACTCAGATTACAGAGTGTAGTTTTCGAAAAAAAGTCAAAAGTTTAAAAATGAATTTGAGTGAATATGCAGGGACGCTTCCCACATCAGGTTGTTTCGATTGAACCCAAGAACTCAGCTTGTAGCTTTTGCGAGTGTAGCTTTTGAGAAACAAAAAGAAATTTCAAAAAACCGTCATAAATCAAACTTTTGAGTTTTCCGAGAGCCATAATTTTGTATAATAAATATTGATCGCAGCCAAACATGCCCAAGACTTTCTAATTAACCGTTCCAAAATGGGCGGGAAATTTTTGAGAAAGTTCAAAAAGATTCAAAAAATGTCGAAAAATCAAATATTTTTAGTTGTTCCGAGGGCTCTAACTTTTGAGTTAACAAAGGTGTTTAGCTTAAGTTGATCATGCAGGGATGCTTCCTACAACCAGTTGTTTCGATTGAACCCAAAACCTCACCCTGTATTAGAACTAAATGTAAAGCAAGCAACTCAGAAGAGCTAGCGTGCAACGCACCTCCGGTGCCTCAAACAGATTAGAGAAGTTAAAAGTTGCTTATACATAAAATATATGAAAAAACAGCAAAATGAATGCAACTGTTAAAAAAAGACGGGGGAATCCAACAACGCTTTTAATTTCAAAGTTTGAATAATATAAAAATAGTTTTGACTCAAAGATTTTTAAAACTAAAATGGTCAAACCTACTGCGTTTCAGATCCTCATAAGCAAAACCTTAAATGACCTGCAGCATACAACTGCAATTTCTATATTAAAACAAATTCGAAACAATTTTATTTGCGAAATCATCAAATTCATAAACGGGATTCATAATCTAGCGTAATTAATTTTAAAATATCAGAGTCTATTTTCTTATATTTAATGAAAATTTGAAGAAAAATTTGAGCGACAATATTGGGAGGAGAGGCCACATATTCGCTGGTCGCAACCTGGCACCACCCCACCAAAGCAATATACGATAAAGCTTAAACGAGAAAAAAAATTCGTTAAACGTGCAAAAATAATAAATTTAAAAAGTTGACATAGCGATATAGTGAAGCCCGCATTTAAATATATTAAAAAATTTTTAAAAAAAGAAAGCCGACAAAAGCTGGGACGCAATCCATGAAGCCGAAAAAAAAACCAATTTAATATTGAAAAAACTCCCAGTAAGAAACATTGCATCCAGTTGTTAATTTTGAATTTTCGTGAAATTGCGCATGTCAGCAGCATAGCAGCCATTTATTCAACTGATTTTGTTAAACACGTTGTTATCACGAAAAAAACCTATATTCCGACTTGCAACACTTGCTAATCACAAGCTATAAAACTATTACAGTAAAACATCTTTTTAATATTGCGCTTACGATATTAATACCTTTCAGATGGAAAAAAAATCCGTTCAATAAAGACAAGTCAATGTTCAACAATGACAAGTCAAAGATGAAAACCTGTTCTAATATCCTCAGCAGCGAAAGCACTTCCGCGCTGTTGTTTATGATTGTACTGCAAAAAAAAAACAATATTCTGCTTGTGTAACAACATGACATTCATTTCAACTTCACAATTTTCGTTTCAAATTCAGTAACTGACACTTCACATCCTGCGTCTTCGTCATACTCATACCATCCTTCTTTTGCCATTTCAGCTCCGTCAGGGATATCAAAAAGTTTACTTGAACTCTCACTGGAGCATTTCCATTCTCCATCTGCTTTAAAGGCTACTGGTTCTATTCCTCTGAAGTCTGCAACCATTAAAGTTTTGAACTTTTCGGAATCAGACAAATGGTAAACAGCGTTATTCTCTAATATATCAACGCTACTATGTTTTTTACAGAAAGAACAGCTCATGACAAAGTTTGCAGTTCCTCGACTTCCTTGTATATCACAAGTTTCTGACTTAGAGATGAAAACGTCTTTATTATGCTCTTCCATGCATTGAGGACACTTCAAGGTGAAACACCAACCGAAGTCCTCAGGGTCCGCTGGCCTAAGATTGGTCACATTGTCCAGGGAACATTTAACTTGAATGCCTAATTTAACCATAGCTATCCAAAAAAAAGACGACTGTCAGATCTAAAAAAAATTAATATTAGAGAGCTCCCCAAGACAAGTACCAATAATTATAGCCCCTAAGACATAAATAAGAAGGACAGAAGTTATCATGGTTACCGAAGTTACTACACTAGTCCTTCATCATATCACCCAGTCAAAAAGTAGAGCCAGAAGCAAAAACCAGGTCAGAAGCAAAACTAACTTTCTCTTTCAAAATCACTCTATCTTGTTTTCAAAACTGTAACTCTATTTGTGATTTGTCCCCACTTATTGGAAAATCAGTGAAGTAGTCCCAATTTTCAAGGACGCAAACAAATCACAAATAGAGAATTACCGGCCAATAAGCCTTCTTTGCAAAGTATCAAAAAATACTAGAGAAACTTATCTTTGATGAACTTTATAATCTAACCAACAAACACTTGCATGAAGCCCAACACGGTTTCTGTAAAAGGCGATCGGTGATGGCTCAACTTCTACAATTTCTTGACCATCTGTACCAAAAATATGACATTCCAACTGAAACGGAATTTTATATTCTCTACATAGATTTTCGTAAAGCATTTGACAGCGTTCCTAACCGAAAATTAATTGGTAAAATACAACAATTTGGAATCGGCGGAAACTTCGTGGAACTCATTGCAAGTTACTTAACAAACAGGGGACAATATGTGAAAAAAAATGATAAGCGCTCCCCAACAGCATCAGTAACTAGTGGTGTGCCACAAGGGTCAATCATTGGACCCCTATTATTAATCCTAATTATAAATGATTTACCAACAACTATAATTAAAAATATCGAATCTTTTGGGTATGCAGATGATTTCAAACTTGCTAATACTTACCCTTGCACTCTACAAGAAGACATAAATAGAATTAAAAAATGCCAATCGCCTAAGTTGTAAAAAAGAACAAAAAGATCTAGGTATTATAACGGCGACGAACTAAAATTGGAAAGCAAATTGTGACAAAAGATGTTCCAAAGCCTGGAGAGTTTTCTATTTTCTAACACGCAACGTATCGAAACTAGCAAACAAATATATGAAACTGAACGCATACAAAGGGTATGTAGTCCCTGTAATCGCATACGCATCTCAGGCATGGTCAGCAAACAAAGGTGAAATGAGGGATATCGAAAAAATCCAAAAACGGGCCTTCTCATGGATACTTTGCATATGGGAAACTTACAACAATAGAATAAAAAAACTGGAAATCCTGCCTCTATCTATGCACTTTGAACTACACGATGCCCTTCTATTACTATCCATCGTGCAAGGAAACTATAACATCAGAAAACCCGTATCAATAAAGAACAACCCTGGAAATGACATCAATACAAGACAAACCAGCGGTAATCAAATAAATATTGAAAAAACAAGAACAAAAAAAGCCGATGAAAACTTCTGAAGCGATCTAGCAGACTGTTAAACATCATTACAAAGAAAACAAACTACGAGATTAGCGAGCTGACGAAGCCGGTTTTAACAAAAATCTACCGGAAATTTTTTGAACAATATAGTGAAATAAACTCATGCACATGGAGAATCATCTGCAATTGTGGCAATTGCAATCCGATGCAGAAAATATAAGTGACCAAAACTGTGGGGTGCAAACCCTTGAGCCAAGAGCTCTAAAGACTGACCTACTACTACTACTAAACAAAAACTTAATGTTCAATATTCATACCTTCGTATTTCTTATAACTTCCGGTAACTTTCCATATCATTGAATTCATCAGTGGGTACTTTCAAAAGCATATCTTGATAAAGCTCCAGCAAGGCTCTCTGCAAGATTGTGTTGCATTTCCTTTCTCCTTTTCTAGTAGCTTTCACACACAGCCACAGTACGAGAGTCGAGATTAGTTCTGCAACAAACCTTTGAAAACAAAGGGCATCTTTTCGCTTGGCCCAGGCAACTGCAGAAAGTGCATTCCCATAGGTCCCGATATTCATAGCTCCCAAAATAAAAAAATCAGTCGCATAAGTCCCAAAATTTATTTTCTTTAATTCTGATTGGTTGAAATTTGATTCAACGAATTTATGGATTGATTGTTTACTGATCAAGCAGCATAAACTCAAGCTGCAGAATAGTGACCGCCGCACCAACGTGTTGCGAGCTTGTCACCAAAGGGTAGAACTCTATAAGAAATTCAACGCCGGTTATCGCCGCGAAGCGCGCCCACCGGCGACCTTAAACCGAGACTCGGCTAATTTAGTCTTTTAAAAAGATTTGAAAATTGAAAAGAGTTGGGACTTTTGCGACTGCTTTTTTATTTTGTGACCTATGTGACTGATTTTTCATTTTGGAACTTATGAAAACGCACCCTGCGGAATCGTCGCAGTTTTCATGACACGTATGGCTTCCATCAATTCCAATAGTCGCTCCTTTAATTTTGATCTTGAACGGCTTCATGTTTGATTTTCTTATTTCAACTAGGCACCACATCAATTACTTGTTCGTACGTAAGGATTGTTCAAATATATCGTCACCGTCAAAGGTGCGTTCATCGTCCTGTGGTAGTGTTCCTGAGGTAAGCTCTCTTTATAACTTTTACTAACTGTTGAAAGCCTTCATCAGTGACACTGGATTACATCACGTAGCCATGTTCCTTCCACCTCTAAATCGATCTTGCAAATCGTTCCTTTAGATGTTCATCTACAGCCTTCTTGTCGTCCCAATTCAATTAGCAACGGTATATCTGTCAGTCAAGGAGACTTTTTTCATTGGTACTTGGTCCAATGTCTAATAAAGCTGGAAGGGTTGCTAGAATTCCAATTCTGGATATATGACACTTCGCGCCTTGATGCAACCACGACGTCTTTAATTCAGGAAACTGAAGCAACAATCTTTGCCTCGCCGATGGCTTTTCAATCACTTTAGGAAATCTCGTTTTTTTTGCAGGTGGTTTTGAACAAATCCAGGGTACTCGAGAGATATACACTGCTAAACTGTTTTGCTTAGCGTAGTGCATTTACTTTTTAAATATGCAGGCGTAAGATCCAAGCTACCCCACTGCTAGCATGTCACTGGCCACCAATATGAATACTGACATGTTCTGGCCGAGAAGCCCATGGAGAACAACTCTCGAATATTCGACCGCAACATTCGTTTTTTTTCCTTTTGAGTTTCATATTGTCTGCGACACGCAGTGGCAAGTAAACTCCCCATGAGTCGTCGTAGAGTTCTTACAATTCCTGTTTCGGGAAAATCAAACTTTATTGGTTTCATGATTGATTTTTTCAATGTTAGGTTTTTTCCTTTTGGGTATCATAAGGTCTGCGTGTGCCAAGTATTGGCAAACGTACAGCCCATGAGCCCATCATCAGTTAGCATTCCATTCGCTCAAATTCAGTTTTTTCATGTGTACGGAGGAATTTGGTCGTTAGCGCTCCGCTTGTTTTCTCTCTCTCAAACTGATCTAATTTTCAGGTCTGTATGTGCCAAGTAGTGGCAAACGTCTAGCCCATAAGCCGTTGTAATTGTTTTCGCTCAAATTCATCACCGTTTTATCATGTGTACGGGATGCGACAATGTCTTCGATAAAAACTGCGCCAGGTAGTGGCAAGTAAAATCCCCATGAGTCGTCGTAGACTTCTTAAAATTACTGTTCCGGGAAGCCTGCAACAAAGGTTCCCTTTCCATCGTCAACTGATGCAATTTTTCTTTTTGGGCCGTAGGGGGAAATCAGTCGGAAGCACTCCGATTGTTTTCTATCTCTGAAACTTGCTTGCATTCCATTCGCTCAAATTCATCTTTTCCAAAAGTCGCTCCTTTATTTTGATCTTTAACGGATTCATGTTTGATTTTCTCAATGTTAGGTTTTTCTTTTTGGGTATCATCAGCTCTGCGTGTGCCAAGTAGTGGCAAACGCACAGCCCATGAGCCGTTGTAATAGTTCTCCAAGTGCTGTATCCGTAAGCCTCCAAAAAAGGTTCCACTTCCTTCATCAACGGATGCGATTAAGCTTTTTCATGTTTACGGGGGAATTCGGTCGTTAGCGTTCCGCTTGCTTTGTCTCTCTCAAAATGGCTTACAGTTTTTTCACTCAACTTCGTGAAGTTCTCTCCTTTCATGCCAGTCAGTTCGCTTTTAGACCTCTCCTGAATGGCACGAATAGTCTTTCTTAACAAGTTATACACTTTTTCGGAATTTTTGTCCAATGGCACACTTCTGGCACCAAGAAGAGGTTATCGAGCAATATTTTCTGGGTCTTCAAATCGAAAAACACCCTGTATTTGGGTTTTTTGCTGTTGCAATATGGTTTAAGCCAGATTCCATCATATCAGCAGCCCTATGATTTCCTTCACTGTTCTTCAAACACATTTCATTTTCAATAGCTTCTCACCAAAAAAATCTGCTGTTACGTCTGTAACACTCCAGGACAGTTTTTTTCACGCTTAGGGTTGTTACCAGTTCATGCTCTTGTTCCGAGCGTTCCAATGATTCAACTGAAATCACTATGCTAAAACTTCCCTATGCTTTCATCAGGTTTACTTGTTTACTTCGTTTACAATATGGCTGTTCGCCTTCAAGTTTTGTTCAGTTTTGTCTGTCATACTCGCTTTTCCACAAAATTTAGCTAGACGGGGTTGTTCGCTCAATTTCTTTGGACGATGGCCTTTTCCACACGTGTGCCCTTCCCGTTAACAAATGCCTTTCTCTATCCAATCAGTCGGGCACTTGCCATCGGACAGTTTTCTTGGTTAGTTTTCTTTCTGCCTTTCAACCGCCTTTACGGTTGAAAGACAGAAAAACAACCAGTACACGGAAGGCCACAAAAATGATATATCTCAGCCAAACCGTGCAAATTCTCGGCGATATTCAGCTTAAGCTCAATATCTGAGGTTACTTCGCATATCAGGTCCGCATTCGAAATCGGACAAGACGGTTTCATGAGTTTCCACATCGTCATCAAGCTGGTGTTCAAGGTACCTTCCCAGGAATCACTTTCGAAGCTCACTAATCCATTCAAACGTGGAACCGCCATTCAACCACTCATTCCTCTAGAGTTAGGCTCCGCCTCAATTGTTCATCGGTCAACATTTTTAACACTTGCGCTCGTTTTACCCAAAAATCGAAAATCACGGCTTGCTCGAAGTCAAAATATAATGATCTTCGTTCATCAGTGGGTAATTTCAATAGCATATCTTGATAGAGCTCTAGCAAGGGGTTCAGCAAAATCTTCTCGCGTTTCTTTTCACTGTGTCTGATAGCTTTCACTCGCTGCCCCAGTACGGGGGTCAAGATTACAAAACAAAACTCGCTTTTAACTTAATCCCACCTTCATCACGGGTTGAAGAAAAACTAACACAAACAAATCCGAACTTCTTCCAGTTTCCAATAGTAAAAAAAAGTAATGCGTCTAAAATGGAGTTTTCTAGTTCTCAGTTTATTACTATAACTACTGTGTAAAATCAATTAGAAACGCATTCGCTCAATTTGAGCATTTTTGATGTTGAAAAAAAACATGAAACAAAAGAAAAATGTCGAGCACGTCAAAAGGAACTTTAAAAATAAAAAACTAACACGTGTCTTAAAGTTGTAACCGTGTTTATGGTTGAATCAACAATTTTAACAAATGAAGAGAGACAGAAAGAGCTTTTCAGAATAGGAAAAAACATCAGATGCCGAAAAAAAGCAAAGCGCGAACGATTAGAGAATTAATCGGAATTATTTTCAAAATTAGGTCACAACTTAATCAAGAGATAAAAAGTTTTCAAGGTTTTTTCCAGGTAGTCTGTAAGCAACTCGTTAATACTAGAGAAACATATAAAACAATATTCCAAGCTGGTTTATCTCAAGGCTTTGTGGAGGTCAATTTGTGCGATTTGCAAAACTTTGAATTCTACAACTAGAACCCTTTCTTTGTTTCAGATAGATCAGGGAGAACTGAGATCAAAACTTTGTTTGCGC